AATTATTATTATAGAAGGCGTACGTGTTGCCATTTCCGTCGAAAAAACCAATTGACGGGAAAGGAAACTGCGCGCGATGGAATAAAAAAAGCTCACGCTGACAAAGCGTGTTGGCGAAGGAAGTATTTGATAGCCAATCAAAACAGCATGTAGGGACCTTTTGATGTTTCCTTTATGGATTGGAAACCCTTCATTTTAGGTACGCAAACGCTTTTAACCAAACACAAAAGAACTACAATTACCAGACATTTTAATCAGGAATCATTTCGAAAGTAAATAAATTTTTCAAGTTTACATTTCAAAATATATCATTGGTTCACAATTAATATTATTATAATTATTTCAAAATAATTTTTAATTCTATCACAAAGATGGCAAACAATCTTAAATCCGCATATTGTAAAATGGTTACTGTAATCCATGCAATACCACGGGAATCAAGGGCGCTTTGCCAACTCTAAAGAAACCTTATTACGCCCGTTTTAAAGAACCTTGTAGTTTCGAGGGAAGCTTGCGCAGGCAGCTTACTCCACAACCTAAGTTGTCGTGACAGGAAACTCCTCTGAAACCGCAAAGATGGATGATAATGGAATGGTAACCCCGCCTGCGCAAACAATATAAAGTGGCGGGGCACCAGTGAGGGATGATAAGTGAGAATGAAGCTGACTAGTTGGCCTATCGTGATTAACAATAAATCAATCACAATAGTTTCCAGGGGGAACCGCGTGGAGGTCGACCTGATAGGGTATATTGCTAGCAATGGGAATGTTAATTCCCATTGTTAGCAATCCCCTCTCCCCTTTATTTGAGGGTTACCGCATCTCCGATGTCTACGTACCTGCCCCGCCGCCCTGCCTTCACCGCGCCGACATACTGAATATTTTAGAGCTGTCTGCTCGCCTCTCTTAGCTTACAAAGAATGTACAACACCTATATTCCCCAGTCTAGATATAACTCGAAGACCTAGTAGTGTATATATATATAACAAGTAAATTTTTTTTTAAGAACATGTATATGTTACATTTAGTCAGAAACTTTGTCAATGCGGTAGAAACACGCAATGAACAAAGTGAAATACTTATGTTTTTTATATATGTATTATAAATTTTTTGTGTATGTCTATCTATTTTTGTACTGTAAGTAATGCAAATAAATTATACAATATATCTATTTAAAGTCGTTTGCTTGGGTACCTCTGTCCCTTTCGTGTTTTAACCGTAAAGCAGTCCCTTTCGAACGAAACAGAAATGTTTTAAAATTACATAATACATGTTTAAAATTAATAAAAATGTTAAAATATCATTCCTCTAGACTATAAGGATAAGATTTATGATAAACGAAATGTTAAGCTCCATTTACTGGCTCGATTTTGGTACGAACAAAAAGACGAAATTGAGTGCGAAAATTCGGATTTTCGTTTCATGGTGGACCACCAGTTGTGTTTGTATGACTGTGTTTCGGTTTAAAGGGTGGGCTATAGCGTAAATTTACAGGGTACAGAGGAATAACACCTGAGTCCTCAAAAATGGCAATGCATGAGTAGTATCATGGGCGAAACAGTATACTCTGTTATGTCCATGGTACTGCTCATGTCTACAGGCGACGGTTACCACTTTTTTCAGGTTACATCAGGTGGGCCGTCGGCTTGTTTGGCATTCTAAATTGTATAAAAAAAAAAATATATATTAGAATATTTTTTTTTTTTAAAACAATATTTATACAGATTTAAAAACAATCGTAACATATTTGTTTTTGAATGTTTTGATAATTTCTCAAAAACGGTGCCAAATAGAAAAATCATTTTATTTTTAATGTAATGTTCACATATTCGTAAACTGTATTTATTTTTGTAATCTTTTGATTACTGGTCTTTTTTCTCACGTTTTCGATCGTAATTAAAAAAAAAAACATCATAAAAATAAATAACAATCAGTTTTAAAAGATACAAATTATATGATACCTCACTTAAACTAGTATGTTAATTTTGAAATTTTGATTATGGTTTTAAGACCCCTTATTAAAGAATTTTTTTCTATTATTTCCATGCAATATATGCGAGCCAACAATACGTAAAACTATTCTAAAATTTTAAATCAATAGCATTAGTAGTTGGTAAAATATAGAATGAATGAATGAATGAATGAATGAGTATACTTTATTTGCATTATACAATATAGGAAATAAGCAAGACAATTTACAAACACAACGATACAATTGTATAAGTACAGTAAGTAAGTATTAGAACTGTAACAGACGGCCGAACGGACAAAGTGGCATCATAAGTGTTCCTTTGTATTTTTTCAGTAGCGATCTCTAAAAATAGAGTAATGTTATAATCAATTTCAGACACGTTAGCTCTATAGAAAGATTTCATTCGTTAACAAATAAAATAAATATCATGTCAAAATCACCGATTCGATGTCGTTTGATTGCTTTGAATTATTTGAAATTATATTTTGGAATATTAAATACGGACATTATAAATGCAAAGATCAATTCGGGCAAAGCTTTCCGAACAATTAACTTCCAGGAAATGACTTTAATACTTAATAACCGCTGTTTAAAATGTTGTAACTCGTCATCGTCTCTCTAGAGTACGTCACAGACTTAAATTATATAGATAAAGTATCAAGACCCAAAAACGGGTCAACATTTTGTCAAATTAGCTGACTCGTTTTTTTATCATTCTTCTATATATTTACGCGCATATTGTATCTTGACGTATTTATATTTAATTAAATAAAATGAGTTTTTACGCAATAAAGAGATGCTAAAGTTATAAAACCAAATAAATATAGAACTTATAAGAGAAACATAACTATTCATCACGCAAAATTTTATGAAAAAGTTGTGCCGTTTTCCTCGATGCACTTGTATGGAGACACTCTATCCATACAATCTAAGATACGAACATTCTACTACCAGAATTCCGTAATATATATATATATATATATATATATATATAAGGAATTCTAAGATAGATAAGATGAACTTAGTCACAGTGTACGTAATTTATCTATAGTAATAAGTAACTGATCCAACGAGCGTCGTTCTGTCAAAAGGTTTAAACTCGCCTAATGTATGTCATTGACCGAAATAATTTATATTAATGTAGTCTTTGTGTGCTATAAAGTATAAATAAATAAATTCCCGTGTGGTCCCGATGTAGAATAGGCCACCCCTTCCTTCCCCGTGGATGTCGTAAGAAGCGACTAAGAGAGGGCGAGGGATGGGCAGCAGCGTCCCTTTCAAAACATCTCCAAAGTCTAACTACGGTTCCCAATTCGCCTGCCAAGCGTGGCAACTAGTGGTAAAACCTTATGCTTATGTTCAGCAGTAGACAATTAAAGGCTGATATGATGGTGATGATGAAATAAATAAATGTTTGAATTAATAGTTAGGAACAGCTTGCACCAGGAAAAAAATTATTTTTTACGTTCTTCTGGGCAAATTTCTCGATTTTTTCTTCATAAGGACCTTCCGCGGAGTCATACTTTGACGAATATTTAAATAAATAGCCGAATTGGTCCAGTCATTCTCAAATTTTGTGCTTAACATTTCATTTAGCGTATCATTTTCATTTATATAACTTATTTTTAAAAAAAGGTAAATTTACTTGACTATTCGTATCATCAGGATAACTGATGACTTGGAATAGAAAAGAAGCTAACGGCCTAAGAAACATGACATGCATCATCGATTGACAGGAACAACATCATTACATCACCTCATACACTATGATGACTTTGGTACCCCACAATGTTCACATCCTAAAGATTAAGGGGTTATACAATAGTATCCAATAATACCACTGCCTTGTCTTCAAACTGTAATACATCAACTCGGCAACAAAAACACGAGTGATGCAAGATTACCCATATGTTATGTGAGTTTTGAATTCATTCCACTAACAGAAAAGTTTGCAAATTTTCAGTATTTCCAATCTTTTTTTTTATACAACTTAGAATGGCAAACAAGCTGACGGTCCACCTGATGGAAAATGGTATCCGTCGCCTATAGACATGAGCAGTACCATGGACATAACAGAGTATACTGTTTCGCCCATGATACCCCCCATGCGTTGCCATTCCTGAGGACTCAGGTGTTATTTCTCTGTACCCAGTAATTTCACGCCATACGCCCACCTATCAAACCGAAACACAGCCATGCAAACACAACTGCTTCACGGTTGAAACACACAAAGGTACCCAAGCAATCGACTTTTGTACAAAGTCTCCCTCTGGTAAAAATCTAAACTAAATTTAACACAGAAATACGAGACAAACGATTTGCTCAGGCAATACTGCGGGAAACAGCTAGTATTTAATAAAGCTTGACAATTTCAATTCCATATCCAGCAGAATGATAAAATCGGAGAGCGACAAATGACTGATAAATTTATCAGTGCCTACCATTAACCTAATGGATCCCGGGGCCCACTGCGCCCACTGCTCACACAGTGACAATTTATTTCAGTAACAAATTTCTACAAAGCCTCGTCTCGTGGTGAAAGCTATTCATTTGTACATCAAAAGACATTCATAGGCCAACAATTTCAATGTACACCGGTGTACATAATTAATAAGCCTGAGTAACATCACAGGACCACATAAATTACTTTGTAGTAATATAAGGCACATAAAAAATATGTATGTATCAGCGTGAAATGTTATATACTTAGTATAATATATAAACTTTTTATTAAGCTAAGTGAAGGTGCTAGAACCTTCAATTGGAGTGGGTAATTTCCTATAATCATAGCCCAATAATAGAGGATAAGAACACTCCTCGGCTACTTCAATACAATCTTTACTTAAATTAATTATTACTATTCTTTTTATAGACTTTACTTACGTATTAATTTTGGGGTTTGTCTAACTAGGTTTAAACTCAGTAAGAACCCTTATTCATGAGCGCGATTTACGGGTATATCCCGAGCGGTACAATATGTGAATAAAACCCATATAAATAATTATAAAAACAATAATTTTTCAACTCACCAAGCGCTGCAAGGATGCCGGCTGCCCAGAACACCTCACCGCAGAGTGCAGGCAGGAACAGCAGCCCCCCCATCCGGCTACCGAACGAGTCCTGCAGCGGGTCTAGCATCGTTATGTAGCCCTGTTTCCGCATCGGGTTCGCGAAGAAGATCCCACCTGTTTAGTACGTATTTAAGGCATTAGCAAAGGGGGCATTGTACTTTGGTTAACGCTTTATTGAGCCACAGCTCCAGTCGCGTATCTTGGACTGATACATCACGTGGTTATTCAAAAGGAATATACTTACCAAAGACGAGGGATAGGGCGTATCCGAAGGGCGCCTGGCACCACACCAGGCCCGAGGTGTAGATAGCCTCTGCAGTACCATTGATGTATCCGCCTCCCACCCACGTCGCTGAAACAATGTCCTCATTATAACATCCATAGGTACTACTCTACTTAAGAAAATCCAGTGAAAAACTCGGTGCCGGCAGTAACACACAGACACACACACACACACACACACACACACACACACACACACACACACACACACACACACACACGCACGCACGCACGCACGCACGCACGCACGCACGCACACACACACACACACACACATAAACTAAGGTTTCGTAGACGTATTCATGTAAAAATATTGAATATGGAATCATGTGTCGAGTACTAACTTGTAAAGCTTCGAAATTAACTTTTGATATGGAAAAAAATTCACTTGTCACATAATTAATAGGGAACACAGGACGGGTTAAGAATAAAATCTTTGAGGACGAGAAACAACCTACCGATTTCAAAATTAATTGTCAAATTCAGTACAGAATTGTTGACATAATAACTTAAAACGATCACAAAATAACCAGACGAATTAAAAACCTTATTCATTTAAAAATTAGAGAGAATTCTCTTTACAATTTCTTACACAAGATTACAGTAGAAAATATTTCATAAACCTTATACGTCTCACGAATCATTAAAATATGGAGCTCCCTTCCAATATATTCAACTCAAGCCGAGCGTAAAACAGCCGAACTTTCCTGGCCGACGAGACAAGAATGGTAATTTTTGTGAATATTGTATCTTTATAATACATTTACTCGTCATGATCTTATGTTAACCGACTTCAAAAAGGTAAGTTCTCCATTTCACGATCAACTGTATATTCTCTCTCTCTCTTCGTCCTCTTCATTACTGAAGGTCGTGTCCTTGAAAGGTGTCTGTTGCCTCTCTTATGATGTTATTCCAATTTACACGGTCTTCAGCTTCTCGCAGGGCAGCTGCAATCGACAGTCCCGTAACGGCGGTTATCTGGTCCGACCATCGATTAGGCGATCGTCCGCGTGGTCTTTTTCCCTCTATTATCCAACTGTATATTAACACACTATAATACCGTCAATTTTGTATTATTTAATTTGACGTCTCTTTAAAACACGAGTGTCTTTCTTTCTGGTATTGTTTCCTAAAATTATAACAGTGATATTATATTTAATTTAATAGTTTTATTACAATATATTGTGTCAATGCAACAGTAACAATTTACCAGAGGGAGACTTTGCACAAAAATCGATTGCTTGGGTACCTCTGTCCCATTCGTGTTTCAACCGTGAAGCAGTTGTGTTTGCATGGCTATGTTTCGGTTTGAAGAGTGGGATATGGCGTGAATTTACTGGGTACAGAGGAATAACATCTGAGTCCTCAGGAATGGCAACGCATGGGGGGTATCATGGGCGAAACAGTAAACTCTGTTATGTCCATGGTACAGCTCATGTCTATAGGCGACGGTTACCACTTTCCATCAGGTGGGCCGTCAGCTTGTTTGCCATTCTAAATTGTATAAAAAAAAAACAATACGATGGTTGGATGTATAGCATTTATATTGTAGGTACGTGATATATTAATCATATCGTTTTAATACATTATGTGTTTCAAACGCACATTGTATTGATCTCACTCATGGAGGATAGATATATTCGAGTTTTTGCTTTTCCACTCAACAGCGTCCTATTTCCGATTGACTATGAAAATGAAAATAACAACATTCCGTATTAATTTCTTGGCATTTTATGTGATTGTATCCAGGGAATAAAATGCGTGAAATTACTGGGTACAGAGGAATAACACCTGAGTCCTCAGGAATGGCAACGCATGAAGGGGTATCATGGGCGAAACTGTATACTCTGTTATGTCCACTGTACTGCTCATGTCTATAGGCGACGGTTACCACTTTCCATCAGGTGGGCCGTCAGCTTGTTTACATTCCTTATAGTATTTGCGTCTCGTCGCTAGAACGATTGCTAGGAGGCAATTAAAGCAACAAGACTAGTGTAAGTGAAAGTAAACCCAAAATAAAACCAGCCTGGACGAACAGACTGAACGACGCAGCCTGGCAAGTCTTCTACTTATTACGTAATTGAATTTAAATTGAAATATATTTAGACTCTGATAAAATCATCTTCATTTCCAATTTACCTAAAGGACAAGCAGTGCTAATAGATAAATGTTGTGTATGCCCATGCTGTATATGGAATTTGAACCCCGTCTGCTCTTTCATTACTTATACGTTGGCAGGATACCCATGAGAGATGGTTGGTAAGGATGAAAGCAGGTCAGTCGACACCTAATGATCAATTAATCAATGATTAACCACGATGTTTTCCGAGTAGGTCCACCCTACTCCAAATTCCCATTATTAACAATCATTTCCCCCTGGCTAGTCTTCTATTCATCATACCAGCAGTGTACCGTCCACTGCTGAACATAGGCTTCCCCTTTAGGGATTTTTGCCAGTAGTTGTCACGCTTGGCAGGTAGGTTCTCAAGTTGTTAGGCTTTGGTAATGTTTTAAAAGGGACGCTGCTGTCCATTTCTTGACCATTAAATTCTCTTAGACGCCTTACGACAGCCACGGGAAAAGAAGGGGTGTCCCATTGTATGCTAGGACCTAATCTTGTAATAGTAGACTGAAATCCAATTTTTATATGGATAAATCCGTACCTAACAAAAGAACGATAGATTTAGAAGGTAAAGTGTGTAGTGAAGTTGTACATAACAGTAAATGGATAATAAAATTTTAACAAATTGTATTCGATACTATGCCATTCCCTTGGAAAGCTATTTATAAAAATAACAGCGCTTGACAACCGAATCGATAGAGATATAAGGCCTACTGTTCATAAATGTGTAAAGGTTTAGAGCGATTAGAGAGCAATCGAACCGGTGATGAGGCGTAAAGCCACCCATTACCATGCGTCGAATCACTCATCGGTAATATTAGGTAAACGCTCCGTGACAGACGACCTTTTTTGTTTGCTCTTCTAATAATTTAAATGTGACGGTTTGTCTTTAGAAACCGTTAGGTACATTTGTAATACTCGTATTAGAAGAATATTTGTTTCTCAATAACGCTTAAATGGAAATTTGTTCGTTATTAATTAAGTTTGTTACCCAATGAATAGTCCATTAGTATGCATAGGTTATATTTTATTCTAAATTATTCGTGGTTTATAGTTATAAATCATAATATGTGCAATGCGAATTAAAATTTATTTAATTTTATAAAACATAAACAATACTTAATTCCACATATGTTAGTTAGTTACAGTAAATCTTACATCAGCAGTTTTTGTTTTGGTCAGCATCGAAATAAAAGAAAACAAGATTTTGTACCACAAAAAAAAACCTTCGTGGTGTCAAAAAAAAAGAATTTTCAGTCATTACAAAATTGATATGGGAGTGAATGCCATCGATTGAAAAAGACATCAAAAATAATTATCAGAGTCGGGTCAAAATTGACGGAGATATTGTCTAACACACATACAAAACAAAAATACAAGCGAATTGAAAATCGCCTCATTTCAAAAATCTCACAGAAACAATTTAAATTCGAGGAGTCCTCACCAGTCATCGTAAAGATTCCCACGAAGAGTCCGATGGAACGTCCAGCCAGCATCACCTCCTCCTCGGAGTCATTCCCTGGAGGCTTCTTGCGGCCAGCCCATATGCCTACTGCTAGGATGAGAACGTAGAAAAGGATGATGGAGATCACGCCCGCTATATTGATCATCTTGACTGTTTGTATGTTACACCTGTACAAACAAAAATTCAATACTTTAAAAAAGGAAATCCAATTAAAATCACAGACGGATGTGCCTCTATATTATTTTTATACTTGGCATATATTTGTAGTAAGTGAATACAGACGACTCTCTCTTCTACTTCGTTCTCTCGTCAACTTTAGCCACTAACTGATGCGACCATTTTTATGATCAAATGGCAACGCGCCGGCCGCGGCGATGCCAATTAATTCAACCCAAACTCAACACATTTGTAAGGATGACAGAGTACATCTTCCTTACAATACAAAATTACGTATTTACAGATAAAATTCGGATTTACAGATTTATTAGTTTGTATCTGAATTCATGTCTATTACGTGGAATATTGTTTTATTCTTATTACAAGACCGTGTGTGTATGAATGAATATGTTAGTACTGTCACAATGCTCACTTATTTGAAATTGACTCTCCGTCGTCGTGTCAAGACGCCACAAGCTCACACACTCCAAATGTTTTTCACTTCAATTCCATTTCAAAGTCCATTGTAACAACTGTAACACGAACCATGTAAAATATAATCATGTAAATACTCTATCAGGCTTCACTTGTGCACGGTGAAAGTGTGTTAGCCACTAAACTAGTGATGTTAGAGACAGTTCGAGGAGCCCGTGCCGTGCTGGATGATGTTACATGTTAGGCCTGACGGCGGGAGCGCAGCTGTCGCCCCATCGGAGGGAGGTTTTCTGCGAAGGACTATTCCTGGTCCTAAAGCTTAGCCCGCACATGAGCGCGCGTGCCCCGCACCACAGACATCAAAACTAGTGTCCTCGCCCGCGTTACGTAACCCGCCGTGGCCACATCGTGAGCACACGAGATGTAGATCGGTTCACGTGCTGCGATAGTGACAGCAGTCGGCGGCGGTCGGCGGTGGTGGTGCGCAGGCGGGAGCCAGGTCGCCGGGCGCGCGATCGATTCCCCTGACGTCATTGGTCGCCGCCGGCCGCCAGCGCGCATGCCCCGCACCACCGCCCGTACGACCGACCCGATACAAAGGTCAGCTATCTTCGTATTGTTTGCTGTACATTTCTTACTCGTTACTATAACCTTATATCACCTTGTGGACGTAAGCATTTTTGTACCATTTGCCACATTAATACTTGGGGGGGTTATCGAACGCTGATGCTGCCACCGGGGGAATGGTGCGGACTCATTGACAAATTGATTGATGAGTGACATTTGTAATGTATGCCCTAGGGTTAGTAGTTAGTACTATATATAGCTCTACAGCTTCGCTGATGCTCGAGTGGGAGTACGGTCAATACGAATACATGACAGCCATAATAAAGAGCCATCTTTGGGAAATGATAGTTTTTCGTGTAATCTGTAGATCCGTAACATAATTTTTTTTATACAACGTAGAATGGCAAACAAGCTGACGGTCCACCTGATGGAAAGTGATAACCGTCGCCTATAGACATGAGCAGTACCGTGGACATAACAGAGTATACTGTTTCGCCCATGATACCCCCCATGCGTTGCCATTCCTGAGGACTCAGGTGTTATTCCTCCGTATCCAGTAAATTCACGCCATATCCCACCCTTCAAACCGAAACACAGCCATGCAAACACAACTGCTTTACTGTTGAAACACGAATGGGACAGAGGTACCCAAGCAATCGACTTTTATACAAAGTCTCCCACTGGTGAATTTGTATGGAGACACTCTATCTATATAATCTAAGCCTATGTATACCATCAATTTCATGGTGTTCTTGTTTATAGACGACCGGTGTCAGTGTTCCACCAGGTGAACCATCGGTTTGTTTGCAATTCCAACTCACATAATAAATATATACAAATCTCTTGGCTCCAAACTGCAAAACTCCTGACCTTCTATACAAGTCATCCCTTGTCACCTGCAGCTCCTTAGTGAATTCTAAGTTGAGTTTAAAATTAATGAACTCCGTAACTTAGTTTTATTGTTTGGATTTCGTAACTTTACCTCATGTAATCTAAACTTGCAAGAGTTTCGGCTGAGCAATGATTATGATCGATAAAATACGAGCAGGTATGAAATTTCCTCGCACGACCGCTCGGGCTATGGTATGAGCTCCCTGTCGAGGTTTTTCCAAGAGACAACAGCATGGGGTTCTTCAGAAAAGAGGTTTCTTCGGGATCGGTAACGCGCGCGTAATGCCTTTGGTATTGCAGACGTTCATAGGCTACGGTGACGCTTACTATCAGGTGGGCCTTATGCTTGTTTGCCACCTTGGTGGTTTAAAAAAAATAAAGTAATTATTAGTAAAAAAAACTAACCGCAACTGTACTGTAGGCAAATTTTACATTCATTATTTATTCATTCAAAATTTAAATTTAACGAAAAAGGTTTGTTTGAATCGATGCATTTGGCGTTCCATTGTTTCTGCCTACCCTAATGGGAGACAGGTGTGACTGATATGTGTCTATGTATGTTAAATTATAAAAAAATATTATAACTTTTCGCTGGATATTCCATATTTAAAACTATGTAGGTATATTGCCGAATTACTGTTGATGCTCAATACAGTTGACAAGCGGTTCATTTGACATGTCACTGTCAACCACTCACGATTGATATAATTTATCGGCTATTCAAAATTCTGTGCAAAAATTTCAAACTTCAATAGGATCATTTAAAAAGACATTTCCTCTATTTCAATAAACAAAACATCAATATGCATGACACTGTAAGTTTTCTTTATATTTTGAAGTAAATATGTGGAATTAATATTTAGGTAAATGTACATTAAGTACAGGTAACAAAATCTAAACGGGTTTCAATGAAACCAAGAATTCTGAATAATGTAATTCCCAAATGTAAAACACAAGCAGCACAGCAAATTTGTATTATACTAATTGTTTACAGGGGAATCTCCTGTGAGCAACCGTTCTCATGGTTATTTCAGTGGGGAATAAATTGAATATAACCTTGCCTTATAGCTTTCTATTGATAAAAGAATTTTTATAATTAGTTCGCTAATTTCCCCTTCCTTCACCCTTGATTTTTTTATCATACAGTTTGATGGTAAACAGTCACTGTGGCCTAGCAATGGCGCTTGTAACACTGTTCTTTTCTTGCCCGCAATGAATTTCAAAATATACTTATTAAGTCCAATAAAAATCATTAGAGGGAGACTTTGTACAAAAGTCGTTTGATTGGGCAGCTCTGTCCCATTCGTGTTTCTACCGTGAAACAGTTATATTTATCAGGCTGTGTTTCGGTTTGAAGGCAGTAAATTCACAGGGTATACAGGAATAACACCTTCGTCCTCAGGATTGGCAACGCATGTGATGTATCATGGCCTAAACAATATACTCTGTCTCATGTCTACAGGCGACGGTTACCACTTTCCATCAGATGGGCCATCAGCTTGTTTGCCATTCTAAGTTATATTTATATATAAAACTAATTAACTCTTCGATATCGAGTATGCTCGCATCAGACTCTTTGTACGTATGTACAGATAATACGACTAGCAGATGTATGGAAAACATGCAACAAGATTCGAGCGGCGGCGTTCCGCGTAGGCCTGAATCTGTGGGACTGGTACCGCCCGCTCGACCCTGAAGGGAACTCGCTCATATCTGGTAGGAGTCGGTATACTAATATACTAGTGTAGACGAAAGTATTTGTATACAGTTCTCGGTAGAAAAATAAATCATCAATAGCCTATCTACTAATGGCAAAATTTTGTAACTTCCCCGAATGCATTGTTATATTTTGAGCAATATCTGACACAAGAAACTGTGGTTATAGTAACCACAGAATAATCAGAAGGATAACTGATTTAATGTACCGACAAAAGTGTAAGGGTTGCCACAACAGAGTTATTAAATAAAAAAATATATATTTATTTATCATAATCTAAATCATCATCATCATTTCAACCGATAACTTTTTTTTATGTGTGATAATGGGATGGTAGCTCGGCCTGCGCTATCAGTATACGCTGGCGAGGCACCAGTGACGGATGATAGGTGACGATGAAAAAGCAGGTCAGTTAGCCAATCGTGATGAATTCCACTAGAATTAATCACGATAGTTTCCAGAGCGAACCGCGTGGAGGTCGACCTGATAGGGTGTATTGCTTGTTATAGGCAAATCAGACCCCATTACTAACAATCCCTTTCCCCACTCAGCCGATAACTGTCCACTGCTGAATATAACCTTCCCAATAAGGGGAGTTTTGTCAGTAGTTTCCACGCCTGGCAGGAGGGTTGGCAAACGGAGTTAGGCTTTTACAGATTTTTTAAGAGGGACTCCGCTACCTGTCCCTCTACAATTAAGTTCCCTTAGCCACCTCTTACGAAACTCACAGGAACAAAAGGGGTAGCCTATTCTATTCCGGGACAAACAAATCGATTCAAAACAATACTCATATTAAATGTACGAAGGATTTTATTAATTATTATTATTACAAAATAAAGAACAATTACGTTATACCTTCTCTAAATGAGAGAAACTTGAAATAATTGTTTTGACACACTGCATCCTTGTTTTCGTTAGAATCAAAATTCGTGTCAGTGCTGGCGGGTCCCTTGCGCTCAGTGATTGGACTGTCAGACGCCGAGATCTCTCAGCTGGCGGACTACTTCCGCGCACAAGATGGCCGCGTTCTCTACCACCAGCTCTGCAAGATAATACATGGCGAAGGTAACTTACAACAAATGCTCGAAGTGCTTAAAAAATATGAATTGAAGCCTTTTTGAAGAGAATCCGGATATACAATTCCTTTACATTATTCAACCCTAATATTCTCTTCTTATGAGAAGTCTCCGGAAATAAACCATTAATAGATTTTATTCTAAGTTTTTTTATGCAACTCAGAATGGCAATCAAGCTGACGGCCCACCTGATGGAAAGTGGTAACCGTCGCCTATAGACATGAACAGTACCATAGACATAACAGAATACACTGTTTCGCGCATGATACCCCCCTCCCCTCCCCATGCATTGCCATTCCTGAGGACTCAGGTATTTCCTGAGTCTAACTCAAGACTGAGGATTCCTTTGTACTCTGTAAATTCATTGCTATATCCCACCCTTCAAACCGAAACACAGCCATACAAATACAACTGCTTCACGGTAGAAACACGAATGGAACAGAGGTGTGACTTTTGTACAAAGTCTCCCTCTGATATTTATACTTAATATCCTATATATTTCTACTTAATATCTTATATATTTTATTAATATCCTTCTATTGTAACTGTCGCACAGGTCGAGATATTAATTTAATTAACTGTTTTTTAATTAAATTATGGAGCCTTAAATTCTGAGATACGTTATAAAACTTTCGTAAATAAATTAACAAAAGTTGTAACCCTTCATCGTGAGCTCTGTCTGCCTCAAAATAATCAATAAAGATTAGGATATACTCAGTTAGAAGTAGGTACAGAGAATTTTCAAATAAATTCAATCATATTAATGGTATTTTACCAACTAAAGGGAGACTTTGTACAAAAGTCACCAGCATTGATACCATAGTACTATTAGTGTCTTTTTTTTAATGTGTAATAATGGAATGGTAACCCCGCCCACGCATCAGTATACGCTGGGCAGGGCACCAGTGAGGGATGATAGGTGAGAATGAAAAGGCAGGTCAGTTAGCCCATCGTGATAAATGCGTTTAGAATTTAACACGATGGTTTCTAGAGGAGGCCACGCGAGGATTGACCTGTGCTCAGGTGCTAACAATGGGACTTGTCGTCCGCATTACTAACAATCCCTCCCCCCCCCCCGTGTTATTGATTCAAAGAATAAGATATACTGGTGAAATGACTAGAAATAGAGGCAAAAGACATAAAGCCTTCCTTAAAAACAGCAACGCATGAGGTAGCATGATCAAGTCTGATTACTTTGTGCTGCCATAGACGCCAGCGGCCGCAACAAGACCTCCGCAGACTGCTTGCTGGAGGCGTGCCCACCCCCGGCGGAGCCCGCCTGCCACAAACTCGACGTTTGGCAAACGCAGCGCCTGTGTTGCTTGCTGGCCACCATTGCCGCCAGAGAGATACCACTCAAACCGTATTTTCAGGACTATGAACTGGTGATATTATGGCTATATTTATTATTTATTTATAACAAAGTAACAGATTATAAATTAATACATTAATAAAATAAATATTACATAGAGTTTGATTGCTAGCAATATGCCCTATCAGGTCAATCTCTACGTGGTTTCCTCTGAAAACCATCGTGAACAATTCTTGTTGAATTCGTCATGATGGACTAACTGACCTGCTTCATCCTCATCTATCATCCTTCACTGGTGCCCCGCCGGTGTATACCGATAGCGCAGCTGGAGTTACTTTTTCAGTATCAACCATAAAAAAAAATATCGAAGTTTATACGCTGCGTGCAGGTAGCAAAGAACGACGGTCGTATCACGTTCGCGCACTTCGCGCGCATCTTGAACTACATCGGCGTGCTGGTGTCGCCCGAGGACTTCAACCTGCTCGTGCGGCGGTTCATCAAGGACTCGTACACCCTCGACTACGTGGAGTTTCTCAAGGCCGTGGATGCGGTCAAGAAGGAAGGCATACGAGGCCTTGGCCCGGTAAATATCACTACTTTTGACAGAAACTGAAATATCCTCTATGCCCACCACGTAGAATAACTACAACTGACCTGTTTAATCTTCATCTGTCATCTCCCACTGATACCCAGCCAAAGTATACAAATACCGCAGGCGAGATTGGCATTGCTTTTAGACCCATAAAAATCAATGTGATTTAGATATTATTCTCGTCTTATAAAAAGAGACCGACACCTAACAATAGAAAATTAATGATGACGTAGGAAGTGGATATATAAAGCTATGAAATAATTGGAATCACATAATTTAAGAAACCCTTTTTAGTTCCGTATCTCCAAAGAAAAAAACGGAAACCTTATAGGATCACTTCATTGTCCGTCCGTCCGTCAAGACCCTTTTTCTTAGGAACGCCTGGAGGTATCATGTTGAAATTAATATACTACTCTAATACTCAGGTCTGCAATCTTTTAAAGCAGTGAAAACATCAACCTTCTAAATCGACGCAATCAAATAATACGGCCGTATATGTTCTATTTATGTCGCATATTTTGCCATTCGCAAAAGAAATCAAAACCTATACGGGGCTTCCCGTTGATCAAGAATCATGAAATTTGGTAAGATAGAATGTCATATAGCACAAGTAAAGGAAAAAATCCAAAAACCGTAAACTTGTAGTTATTTCCCAAAAAAATAACTTTCTTGATTTTATACGGAACCCTCGTTTCGCAAGTCCGACTCGCACTCGACCGGCTTTTTTATGTATTATTGTCGCAAGCAATATCATGTAAGTATCTTGTATTATCATAAAATATTATCACCAGGAGTACAACAATCCCAGTGCGGTGATCGACACGAGTCTGCCGAAGCTGAGACGCCCAGAGATAGAAGCAGGGCTGTCGACCGCACCGCTCGGAGCCACAGATGTGTTCCACCCGGCCTTCACACCGCCTCGGCCCTCGCGGCAACTCATCGAGCTCATGCTGCGAGTACAAGAGTTTGTGCTCCAGAGACGCGTCAGAGTCTCTGAATTCTTTAGGGTGAGATCTGTATTTAGACCTGATGTAATACATCGACATGTTTTACTAATTTAGGTTATCGATTTATTATAATTAAAGTAATTCCTGCATATATATAAATATTTTCGTAAAAGATAACTCCAAAAATGTTAAACCTCTGTCGTTCGTGTATTTTTTTTTTAATATATTTATTAATTTTTATGTAGAAAGAATGTTAGAAACTGAAGTATCAGCGTCAAGTTGCTGTGCAGAATTCATTACGCGTCTTGGATTTATTTTTTATCTACCACATTTTTTACTTCCCTTCTTTTATAATCATTTTTACATGTTAACAAATGTTCAAAAAAATCTTAAAATGTATCATTAAAATCCAACTCCAGAGAGTTTTAAACTCCAGTGTGTCAGCGAAGACAAGTGGCATAGCCAACGGTCTGAAGACCCGACGATGGAGATTCAGACATTTTGGCGGGCCCTACTGTTGCTCCGGGGGCCCACAAGATACTATATTAACTAAAATTGTTAACCCTACCTATTTCTACATACCAAAAAGTTAAAAAACATTCAAAATCTGCTTCAAGGACTACGACCCACTGAACAGCGGTCGCATCACCCCGCAACAATTCCGGCGCGCGATGGACGCAATGGGTCTGGGCGCAGTGCTGGACACCAACGAAATGCTGTGCGTGATACGCCACTACCTCGACCCCAACGACTCCGACCGCGCGTGCTGGCGCACCTTCGAGGACGACTGCGATCAAGGTCCAAACACATAAGCTGCTGTATACCTTATTATTTCAACTATTAACTGTCCACTGCTGAACATAAGGGTAGTTTTACCAGTACTTACCACGCTTGGCAGACGAGTTGGCTACCGCAGTTCTTTTTATTTTTTGATGCATGAAAATGGTATGGTAACCCCGCCTGCACTAACGGGATACGCTGGCGGAGCACCAGTGAAGGGAGATAGATGAGAATGAAAACAGGCCAGTTAACCCATCATGATGAATTCATCAGGAATTAACTACGATAGTTTCCAAGGAGAACAGCGAGGAGGTCGACCTGGTTGGGTATATTGCTAGCAATGGGATTCTCAGTTTTCATTACTAACAATCCCTTTTCCCCCTGGCTACCGCAGTTAGGCTTTTAGAGATGTTTTAAGAGGGGGATGTTTTACGATGCTCCCCATCTCTCGTCCTCCCTTAGTCGCCTCTTACGACACTCACGGGAGAGGAAGGGGTGGCCTATTCTATGCCGGGACCACACAGCGATGCTGTAGCAGAGGCATGCTGTATACCTTACATAGTTAATATACATGCTAATTTTCAGATGGTCGAATCCTATTTGAAATAGATTACCGTTGATCATTTTGTTTAAAGTTTTCTTGTGTGTAGGAAGTTTGGAAGTTTATTATAATATTTAGATTGTAATAATGGTCGTCAGTATTTGCTGGCTTGGGCTATGATGATTAATTACGTCAATATAAGATATAACTCTCAATTGTTTTCACAATAGATGATGCAGCCTTCTTAGGTCTTCATGAAACAATAGATGCATACTATGAGGCTTTTCTGTGCTTACTGTTACATTATGATGGAATGGTAACCTCGCCTGCGTTATCGGTATACACTGGCGGAGCGCTAGTGAGGGCTGACAGGCGAGGATGTAGAGGAAAGAAATTCATAGTAATGGTAATTTTCTTCAATAAGTGATAATGGAATGGTAACACCACCTGCGCTATCGTGTGAAGTGTGAGGATGAAGCAGGTCAGTCAGCCCATCGACGAATTCAACAAGTATTGTTCACGATGGTTTCCAGGGGGAACCACGGGGAGGTCGACCTAATAGGGCATATTGCTAGCAATGGGGCTGACAAACTCCATTGCTAACAATCCCTTTCCCCCCTAGTAATGGTAATTAGTAAAGGGTATCTAACAGCCTCATTGCTAGCAATATACCTTATCAGGTCGACCCTCGCGTGGATTTCCCTAAAAGCCGTCGTAGTTAATTCTTTATGAATTCATCACTAGAGGCCAACTGACCTGCTTGATGCTCCTGTCATCCTATCATCTCATATTAGTGTCCCGCCAGCGTATACCAATAGCGCAGGCACGGTTACCATTCGATTATCACCCATTAAAAAAAACACAAACAAGATGGGCGAGCATGAAAGCAAGTCGGTTGACCTGTCGTGATGAATTGAAAATTAATCACAATTATTTCCAAAGGGACTGCGTGGAGGTCAATGAGACAGGGTATATTGCAGTTGCTAGTCCCCGTTACTAAAGATCCGTGTTTCACCAGGGTGGTAATGGTAGTATGTGGTTACGCAGTGTTCACGATCAAGGAGCTGGAGAAGCACCCCGAGGCGGTGGCAGGCGGCGCGGTGGCGGCGGTGGCGGAGCTGCCGGCGCGCGGCTGGGCGGAGGAGGCGGGCGGCGGCCGGGCGGCGGCCGCGCTGGACGCCGCGCAGGCCGCGCTGCTGCGCGTGCGCGCCGCCTGCCGCCAGCGCGCCATCGACCTGCGCCCCGCCTTTTCTGAGCACGACCAGTACAGTTTCTTAATAATTCTAAAAAGCACGTTTGTGATCCGGTGATTCCAACATCGATTCCAAGTTGTATTTCTGAATTCATGCTTAATCTATTTAAAAATTATTGTCACTCACCTGTTGTTTCAGCAACCATATCACAGACTTTCGTGTACGACAAAGGGGGGGGCAAGAGTTTCTAACTCTTGACGCTAGAGAGTGAATAAAATATTATGCACAAAAACATTTGTAGTCTTCCACAAATTATAATGACAGATTGTATTTTTGCCCCCTGTGTTATAAAATATATATTTTTGGTGCGAGAAGGGCTTTGCTATCATATCGCAGCACCGAGTCAGTAAGACACATTTAGTTATATCAATACTAAGCGTGCCATAATCAGTAATCCGAGGCACTGGCATCATCTACGCCTGTCAAGCCTGGCTATGATATAGTGCACCGGTGCAATTTAGGTGGTTTGCGCGCGCAGGCACAACAACGGGCACGTGTCGCGCGCGCAGGTGCGGCGCGTGCTGGCGCGGCTGGGCGTGCTGCCCGCCGCCGCGCAGCTGCGCGCGCTCGAGCTGCGCTACCTCGACGACTGCGGCTTCAACTACGTGCGCCTGCTCCACGAGGTCGCACCATTCTCATCAGATATTATAAGTTGCATATAAATCTACAACTAAAAACTTTGCACCTACTTTATATTTCTTAATAACCGTAATTTCTTAGTAACCATTAATCCACATTCAAAATTCGTCTCATTTATCTAATATCATTCAATCTAATTCTAGGATTTCTACTAACATACGTACTAAAATACTGATATATAAAAGGAATTTAAACTAAGTGAGATGATCAGATGGAGGAACGTGCGGTGGAAAGTGCGACGATAGCGCGGCCGGTGGCGGCGCCACGCCGTCCACGCGTTGCCGCTGATCCACTTGAGACCGACATCGTGCACATACTCGCCAAGATCAAGGGAAAGGTGAATATTTATACAACAGATAACCTTATTATTTTGTACGTTATCATAAAAACCCAAAATCAAATCCAAACAGTCCACCTTGGAAACAATCGTGGTTAATCGCCCTTCTACCCTTACTAATTCCCTACTATAGCGTATAGCTATAGTACAATCGATTTCTTATGGGTGAAAATGGAATGGTGATCCCGCCTGCGCTATCGATATATGCTGGTGATTCACTAGCGAGAGACGATAGATGAAGATAAATCATGACGAATTTAACAAGAATTAACCACGACTGTCTCCAGAGAAAACCGTTGGAGATCAACCTGACAGAGTATATTGCTAGCAATGAGGCCTTTAGACCTCCATTACCAACGATCCCTTTCCTTCCATTTGGTGCAATGTTTAGATGGTGCGAGAGGGTGTGCGCCCCCGCGACTTCCTGCGCCAGTATGACAAACAGAACGAACTGGTGATACCACGGGCGGACTTCTACCGCGGACTTGCCGCCGCCGGGCTCGCGCTCACTCCACTAGAAATGGACACACTCATTGAAGTGTAAGTAATTTACAAAGTCAAGTTGTGTGTATGAGCCTCATGAGATGAAAAGCCATGAAGTACCTAACCCCACTTATAGGGGGAGTGCAATATTGGCGCCAACAACCCTACCCTGTCAAATCAACCTTCATGCGGTCCTGCTGTAAAGGTTATTTCTAATAAATTCGTCACGATGGAACAAATGACCTGACTTCCTCCTCTATCGTCACTAGGTGGTACCCCGCCAGCTTTTTACTCTATTAACAAAAATCTGTCTGTACTATCATCACCATAATTTTAGCCTATATCTATCTATTCACTTCTGTATGTACTTTTCCCAATGCAATGTAATGGGACCACACATTATTGGTTCTTTTATTTGGAGACGCTGGGTTTAAAAGTAGTAACAGCTGTGGTCTCCAGAAGTCTGTACCTATATTTAGTATTTCAGCCGTTAACTGTCCATTGCTGGACATTGATGGCCTTCCCCATAAGGGGCGTTTTGCCAGTAGTTGCCACGCTTGGCAGGTAGGTTGGTAATCGCAATAAGCCTTATAGAAATGTTTTAAGAGGGACGCTGCTGCCCTTCCCTCGCCCTTCCTTAGTCAACTCTTATGACACCCACGGGAAAGGAATGGGTGATTTATTCCAGGATTTATTTAGGGACCACACGGCAACGTATATACCTATATACTTTTCACTAAATATAGTTTCTGCGCGCCCGGCCGCCGCCGCTACGTGGAATACGAGCGGTTCAGCTCGACAGTGGGCGAGGCGCTGACGCAAGAGGGGCTGGAACGCGCGCCCCTCCTGCAGCCCGTGCCGCACGTGCCCACCGCCGACTCGCCCCTCAACTTCCTCACCTTCGAGGAGAGACACATCGTCTCCGGTGCACTAACCAAACTCTCCAAATATCCAGACCAGTTGTCTAACATACTGGAAGTGTTTAAGGTGGGTTTACTATAGAAAATGATTGATACAAAGGTAGGAACCTTGATGCAGTATTTATAAGCAATATAAAACTTCAAGTATCTAAAAGATTGACAAAATTACAAATTGGTTAGTGTTCGATCTTATAAAAGCAGAACGCAATAAATAAACTATTTGATTGTAAACTGTGTTTAATTTTATATATATACAGATACACTGTGAAACGTAAATAACAATTGTTTAAAACCGGAGTTGAACTGAACACACGTACGTGACATTAAAAAATTTGCAGCGGAGCACAGTGTTGCTAGTACAATAAAAAAAACTAGAGAAGGGATGTGCTGAGTATTTCCAACAGAGAATTGATTGCCTAGTGTTACTGTCTCATCACTATCCTATCCTATCCTATAGGGGGGAAGGCATTTTTAGTAATAGCGACTGAAGAATCTATTACCAGCAATATACCCAACCAGGTCGACCTCCCCGTGGTCTCCCTGGAAACCATCGTGCTAAATTCCGAGCATATTCATCACGATGGGCTAACCGACCTGCCTTTTACATTCCCACAGTAGATAGATTTATTTCAAGCTTGATATCCAGATAAAGCTTTCGTTAGAATTTATTTTCTTTGACGGACCGATTTATTTTTCTTTCTTTGCTAACGTTCAAATTTTATCGTCAAGTCGTATTTTTCAGCCTTTTATTTATTTATTAGAACAAACAACAGTACAATATTACTAGACAACCTTTTTATTACTTTTTATGTTCAGGACATAGACAAGGAGCGTTGCGGCACGATACCGCGCGTGTCCGTTGAGCGCGCGCTCTGCCAGCGCAACCTGCTGCAGCTGATGTCGGCACGCGAGCGCGACCTCCTCTACAAGTGCTTCGGATACCGCCGGGGCTGCGGTGACGAGGTAGTCAATGATCAATGCAATGATATTACCAGATTGTAGAAGAAAGAAATTGTTAGTAATGGGGCCTGACAACATTATTGCGGGGGGAAAGGGATTGTTAGTAATGAAGGTGGAAAGGCCCCATGGCTAGCAATATCAGGTTGATCTCCACGTGGTTTGCTCTGGTGACAATCGTGATTAATTCTTGTTCTTGTTAAATTTATCATGGTGGGCCAATTGGCCTTTCATCCTTACCTGTAATTCACCTATCATCTGTCACTGGTGGCCCACCAACGTATACAGAGCGCTGCCGGGGTCGCCATTCCATTCTCATCCATAAAAATCCGATTGAACTATACCTTAGTAAGGAATCAATAAGGGTAGATGGGCAATGAACCACGATAGTTTCCAAGGTGAACAGCTTGGAAATCGTACAACCCGATACTAGCAATCCCACCCATAGCGGCCCAGTTATTCATGTATGATCAAGAAATGTAGAAGCCAAGTACACAAACATACCAGAGGGAGACTTTGTACAAAAGTCGATTGCTTCGGTACCTTTGTCCCATTCGTGTTTCAACTGTGAAGCAGTTCTGTTTGTATGGCTGTGTTTCAGTTTGAAGGGTGGGATATGGCGTGAATTTACTGGGTACAGATGAATAACACCAGGAATGGCAACGCATGGGGGCATCATGGGCGAAACAGTATACTCTGTTATGTCATTCAAGTTGTTTAAAAAAAAAATATAATTGAAACAGGTCAATTGCAGGTGTGAGCGTTGTAAACGGAATCTTGGATTTCGATATAATTAGTAGTTCATTTGACATTCTATTTGGAACCCATGCAACACTATACACTACTAGGTTTAAACACTTCGTCCCTGTATCCAACCGGGATATGTTCACTACTACCATAAAAAATAGCCACCCTTTTCCATCCCATACAGTACATGTATACCAATTTTATAGTGATTAGTTAAAGCGTTATAACAAACATACACACTTTAGTAAGGATTTTTAGCCTGAAAACCGACGTTTTTGGCATGTCTCGAAAGACTACATACATCAATTCAATAAGCAAAGCCGTTTTCGCCAGAAACGAGTTCGTTAGGAATGCGGTGATAATTCTTAGACAGTGATGATATTTAAAGTGACTATACCAAGTGATTAGTGTATTTTTTAATAGATAGTGATCATAGAACGTCATTAGTGTAAATTATTTTATAATAGCTTGCTTATGAAATATACTTGTTTAGGTGAACTACCGTGCGCTATGCAACGCTCTGGACTTGTTGTATGCCACCTCCAGCGCGCAGCCCTGCTGAAGTGCAAAGTTCCCAATGCAGTTTGGTGTTTGAAGCATGTTGAATCGTTGAATCCTAGCTTGTGCCGTTCCAATAAACTATACACCATTGACTCCGACTTTTTAAGTATATATTGCCCGCCAATCATTTACTATCTAACTGCATTAAGTTAGCTGGAAGAGATCTCTTCCAAAGGTAAGCCCCTCCTTGCAAAAGAAATCAATAACCATTCCACTTGCCAGCATTATATATCTTCATTCCAGATATATTTTGCGATAGGCTCATATTCTAAACTCCTTTTAAAACTTATTATTACACTTATGGTATCGGCCATCAAACAATTTAGGTTTCATATGAATATACCCATAATTATTAGGGGGAAGGGATCGTAAATAATGCGGACTACCAGTTCCATTGCTAGCAATATACCCTCCCTGTCAGGTCTACCTCCACGCGGTTCCCCCTGGAAACCATCGTGCTGAGCTCCAGGTGTATTCATCACGATGGGCTGACTGACCTACTTTTTTCATTATTCACCTATCATCCCTCACTGGTGCCCCGCCAGCGTATACCGTTAGCGCAGGCGGGGTTACCGTTCCATTAATCATACATTAAAAAAAAAACAGTATTTAAATAAAAGTTTGCATAGTACAAAAATAGAAAATATTGATTGAATATTTAGACTTGTTTGCTAATTTTGTTTCTATGAAGAATTTTAACAAAATTGAATTGCTAGTTACTAAACGTAAAATTACTGGCTTCTAGCTTTATTATACAGTTAAAAAACACTAGCAGGCCATCTGTAGAGCAATAATAGCACTCATAAATATTATAGTTACGTGGCCAAATCAGTTTTATTTTTTAACAAGCCGACGGCCCACCGGATAGAAAGTGGCAACAGTCGCCTATAGACATGAACAGTACTATGGACATAACAGCGTATACTGTTTTCATATTATATAGTTTATTACAAAAATTGATTTAATTTAAAATTATTAAATACAAATAACTCACCTAATAGTAAATTTTAGTAAAATGCCTTGCATTTTAATGTTATTTATTTGCTCAAGTTATGGATAGGAAATATTTGTATCAGGACAAAAATAGAAATAAACGAGTCGCGTTAACTTTAAATTATAAAGATCCAAATACTTAATTATATTACTTTACATTGTCCACTGTTTAACTCACGTAGTAATGGCGGAAGACGACGAGTGACAAACACACATAAAAAGTCAATATTTTTATTTACATATTTGTTTTATTGTGACATACACAAATTGTATATCTTGAGAAGTTTGTTCATGTCCAAATTACTTAATCTAAGAGTAATTTCATCCTAATCAATGGAAGAAACTAGTTAGTACAAAATACATGATTTGATTTCTTGTTCAATTATGTACCAAATTAATAATACAAAACTACAACATTCTGCAATGAGATCCAGAACAATGATCAATGATTATTTTGCAACAGGGCTAGGGGGGCTGCTGACAACACTCATCACATACACTCTCACAAATACAGACACCATTTGACACCGGACACCGGACTCCGGCCGCCGGCCGCCGGACACCAGCACCGGACAACAGGCGCCGGACGACACATACAAACACAAACATTCTTTTATAAGCTCTGTATAATTATTAATATTTGTATTAGACTATTCAGTTCTAAAGGTCAAAATTGAATCTAATCAATTGGCAATAATACTCAAGTGAATCTATTAAATCCATACTATATTATAATAAATTTACGAAGCGGCTCGCCGGTTGCGGCCGCATTACTTAAAACAGTGTTTTATCCTTAAAAAATTTCTTAAACAGATTACTTCCTTAAATTAGTACTGTGGAATGGAATGACACGCCCCCAGCGCGGCGAACGAGAGGGCGCCGGGGACGTTCATGACCGATGACTTAACCTGCAACAAACAACCGACCGACCACTGCATTACACGCTATAGTCATCGCACGCCACGCCACGCCACGCCACACCACACCACACCACACTGCACTGCACTGCAGGGCAGTGCAGTGGACGCATTAAAATTTCTTAAAAGAGAAATTTCTTCATTCACCTGCAGTTACTGTGTTCTATACTATATCTTCATCTATATTTATTTAACAATTTTGCATTTAATGGATTTTATTCATGTACTAATTTGGACAGCAAAATCAAATCTTTTAACAGAAGTAAATTTTTAATAAAATGAAAATTAGAATCATCAGGCCGATGCAGGTGTTCTGCCTCTCACTCGTACCATACCTGCTCATGGGCCAACGATCTCAAATGTACAAGTAAAAAAACCACTTTAAAGTTTTGTAAATGGCTTATTTTAATAAACAATCATAGTATAACTGGCAATATTGTCTACTAAATACTAATATTTATATTTATATATGATGTGTAGGTAGATGGGTAGACGAGTATTCACCTTACTATTGGACTGAGATGACTATCGACAGGTACGCAGGCGGAGCCTCCTAGTAGGGCTGGTGCCGCTGGTTGGTGCGGCCGCCGCCGCCGCCGCCGCGCTGCTTGCCGCCCTGGTAGCCCGCTGCAACGCACCGCAACACAACACATATAGCTACCACCCACCCTCTAATAAATACCGATGGGGTTGTATTTTGAGAGCACTCGCAAAACAAATCGAAATATAGTACTTTAAATAATAATTATTTACACTAATTCTCTCTCAAAATACTACCCCATTTTCCAATCGACTATTACGATTACATTCAAAACTACAAAAACAAATTGTTAAACAAATGGTGAACAAAACAAGTGGTTAGTACCTAAATATAGCTGTAAACACACTTGTATACACCGACATCGTGCCAGGCGGTTCAATTGTTTTAGAGTGAATGTTATTATATACACGATGTGTTATAATTATAGTACAATAGAAATATACTTATTTGTGTAATATTTCCAACTCCACAATCAAGTAATGAGAGATTTTCATCGATCTACATTGCAGCACATTATTTCAACAAGAACGGTGCAAATAAATATACACATATATAAAATATGATAATGCAAGAGGAATAAAAACATCATGCAGCGCGAATTTTCAATACCGACTGATACACTAATGAAAATCTGATGTGCATTCATAACTGCAATGTACGAGTGAAGACATACTACCGTGGTGCGAGGCGCTCCACCGTACAGCGACGCCGTTAACTCTAGTTATAAATGCACTTCCGTAAAGCTCTAGTAGAGAACTCGCATGTCCGACCTCGCTCGCTAACCACTACTCACGTTTTCGTTAGTAATTTGCCTCTACTCTTATCGCATCAAGCGAATTCCAAAAAGTCGACTACACACGAGCGGGACACGGTACGGACATGACTCACACAGTACAACATACAAGCCTACTTCGCTCCAAACGTTTTGCCGCGTTACCGGAACGATTCGTCATTCGTAAACTCGAGGCGTGGTCGTCAGTGGACGCGTAGCGACGGGCACAAAACGTTTGCAGACGGATGTGACTAGACTAGGTAAGAAGTAAGAGTGAAGAGGAGCGTGAAGGGCAGTACCTTTCCCGCGTGGAGTGGTGCGCGCGCCGTACCCGCCCTCGTACCCTCCGTACCCGCCGTAGTCTGCCCGCACACAACAACACATTAGTTGGCCGAGCTCCGCCCGCCTGCTGCCCTGCCCTGCCCTGCCCTGCGCTGCCTACTACTCTACTACTCTGCCGTGTGCCACCACAAACATACATACTACACTCACTTGTCGCATAATTATTCAATAATCTATCATAATTTATATATAACCAGTCTTCAACATTCAACTTGAAAGTACCTACATTATGGTCTGTGAGCAGAGGTAGATAGATTCCACCCAATATTGATGAATTTGAAAATATTATTTCATGTCTATTCATTCAGCATACATGTTATGCTAGTCTATTCTATATATCTAGATGAGTGACTTGATTACACATTCTCCTCCTCTACTCATTAGGCTTGTGTTCCAATCGGAGTTCACCAGTATGATGTAAACATGCGAGGTTAGTAGAGGCGTGTGAACCCATGTGAGTGGAGTGGAGTGGAGTGAAGCATGGCACGCTCGAGTGGAGGTAAAGGAATAGAGGCCAGGGATACATATGGAAACACATTGAGAATTTTTGTAACAGTGCTTTATTCAAAAGCTTTCATCATATTTATCTTTATCACTTTCACAATGTCTCTCCATATTTACCCCATTTCCCAAATGTAGCAAGTGGCGAGTATTAGCAGGTAAAACAAAAATACCAAAACAAAACTGGCGACATTGCTACATATGTCAAAAGTGGTATTACAAATAAACACTTAAAACATAAGGCAGGTAACATATGTACAGAATATTGTACCCGGTGAAACAATGACAAAGAGAGATAGCAAAATGAATGGCTTTCAACTACTATGTATACAGTACAGTAGATAGGCGAACAGAACGGACAGAGACGCGACCGTCTCGCGACGTCACCGCGAGCGATGATCGTTACACCGACCGGATTAGTGATGGCAGAACTAAATAATGAAAAACTAAAAGCGATCAATCCAAAGATCCAATTAATGTGAAATATTGAATTCTATTTATTCAAACGTTAATTATAAATGGGCCAAGGTTATATCCAAATATACATGGTCGCCCTCCACAAACATTCACTACACATTATCTCGATAGAATATTAAATATTTAGAAAAATAAATATTTTCTACACACTAAGTTATAAACCTATCATTCGCGTGATGTCGACCTCTATGAATATAATGTAAGATATACATAATAATAAGGTAAATAGGCATCTCGAGGACGGAACGTGAGCGCCCCCTCGCACGTCAATAACCTAGCCGGGCAGTCGCGCCCCTTACTCTACGATTACATCCTAGGGATCAGGTAACATCAGTCGAGGTAATGTGTCGGTGAGCGGTAGGCGCGGGCTCGCCGATATACTAGTTCTGCTTGCCGCGTTTACCGTAATTGGGGTAGCCGCTGTAATCGTAACCGCCGTAGCCGCCGTAGCCGTCGTAGCCATAGCCGCCGTAGCCGTAGCCGTCATATCCGCCGCCGTAGCCACCTTGGCCATAGCCGTAGCCGCCGTAGCCCTGGCTGCCCCAAGCGCCCTGCCCGCCGTAACCGCCACGGCCCCCGCGCCCACCCCGCCCGCCACGTCCACCGCGCGCGCCTCGTCCACCCATGCCTCCAGGGCCGTCGGGCTTCGGAGTCGCTCTCTTTACGTCCACCTGGAATACAAACCAAATTGTTTTATTAAACAATGCAATTTTATTCACAAATCATAAAAAAAATAAACAAATTAATGGGTACCACTACACACCTCTTTTCCAGCGATGGTCTGTTTGGGAGTCTTTAGCAGTTCATTTACCACTTGTTCAGATTCAAATGTGATGAAACAAAAACCTTTTCTTTGATTCTTCGTCTTGTCAAATGGCATTTCAACTTCAACTATCTAAAATAGAACAAATTTTGCATTATTACTAGTTACTGCAATGAATAATCTTTTTTTTTTTATTAATTATTCAGTGGCCCGGGTTTATCTTCACAAAAATTCAAGAAATTTCAATCTCACCAATACCGGATTTGTCATCATAAAATATTATTAATACTATTTATAAATATATAAACATATCAGCATAAATAATTTTATTATTAATGATTACTAAACCTTTAAATATATTTAGCATATTTAGTAAATAGACATTCTTGGCAATGTCTTTATATTAAGAATGTAGAAAAACAATTGTGTTGTATATGTTACTAGAAAAAGTGCATAATGATGCGTTTACACATTGGTACCTCTTATATGTAAAGTGTTATAACTCCAAATAGTGTGGATTATAACAGACTTTTATTTAAAAAATTCATTGTACCAATTAAATAGAGACTGATCCTAATATAAATCTCAAATATACCTAATTACAGAAAAATAAACATGTCAAGTTTGTTTATGAAATATGTCACCTTAGATAAAACAGCTCTTATGTTAACACTTTGCTGACCCAGAATTCCATCATGTTTAAAATATTTGTAATTAAACTAAAACTGTGATAAAAAAAAACTAAATATAAAAAAAAAGTATTTTTTGGTCATGAACACTGTAATCCAAATGGTCTCGCTCATCATGGTAGTAGGATGTACCTACATGCTAGTGCAATGACAAGTTCACTCATCAGCAGTCAGGAAAGTGTTAAAGTCACTGTTATCTCTGCCAAGTCCATAATGTAGTGAAAAAAGAAATAATTATTTTACAATAATATTATTAATGACTTACAGTGCCAAAATTACTGAAGAAGTTTTTGATCTCATCATCAGAAATTTCACTGCTCAGGCCACCAACGAATATTTTCCCATGCCTCGCTTTCGCCTTTTTGGGGTCTACTTTTTTGTTGTTGATTGTGTGTTCACCAGCAGCCATAACTTTATCAATGGAATCTGATGCCTTAAATACAATGAATGCAAATCCCCGTGATCTGCCTGTGTTGGGGTCAGTCTTCACATTGATGCTCTCAATCTCACCATAAGCACTGAAGTGGTCACGTAACTCCTCTGCACATATAGATTTTAAGCATTAACAACTAATAAAAAAACAAAACATTATTTAACACAGTAAGAAGAAGGTCAGGGTTGTGGGTATAGCTTTCTTCAAAATTAATTCAGAAGCAGAACTGTTATGAGTCATCATGTAAAAAGAAATCAAATCTAATGGTTTCAAATATCAAATGAATGTCAAGTGATACTCACTGTCTGTGGTTTCCCAGCTCAGGCCTCCAACAAAAAGTTTTCTGTGAACGTAAGGAGAAGCATTAACATTTGAAGAAATTAACAATGCAACAATGTCGCCAATTAGAAACTGACTTAAAAATTAAAATTTAATATTAACACTATGCAGTACTTGTTTACAGTACTTTACAGCTACTATTGTGTTCAAAACAAACTCCAAGCACTGCAGCAAAACAAATTGACAACCTGTAAGTTACAAAAGTAAACTGGAAATTTAACATTATCAGATAGGACAACCAAAAATGAAACAATGTTACAGTAATATCGCAAGATTTGAAATTGGCAACTGTGAACGAGGCCCAAAATTAAGTGGCCGAGGCAAACTAGTCAGTTTGGTCGTTGTTTTTACTTTAGTGTGAGCCCAGCAGATATATACCATGGCGTCCTCCGGCGGCTGCGGCAGCGGCGGCGCAGGCTCACACCTGCAGAGAGACACAGCGTTAGTAGCGCCCCAAACTGACCGGCGCCGCGGCGCCCACGCTATTGCGCTACCACCGATTTAAAATCTTGCAAGTACCTACGTAATAAGTAGTACCGCTAACAGTAAACGGTCTCGCGTCCGTTCGCTGACCGTAACGATACTAATTATGACCACAAGTTCACTATCAAACAAAATCGATAAAGGGGCCGGGCCGGTGCCGGTGCAAAGAGACGCGCCATTATGACGCCATTTTACTTCTCATGCGGCTCGGAGATTATCTACATTTAACAAATATGACCTGAAAGTTGTCCGGAACTAAAACTATGACAACTATGAAATGGTTAAAATCGCGAAGAACACACTGGAAATATGAAAACGTACAATTTTGAAAAGATCTCGAAGATTACGATAGATTTATATGCCGATAATGATAATGCCGGACCGACGCCATTGTGGCGGGGAAAAATTATAACTGTGAAAAAATTCCATAAAGCTACGCTTTACATTGCAATATAACTAATAGGAACTATTTACTTGCATTTTATAAAATGAAAACTTAACTTTTAAAAAACTAAGTACATTTCTTAGTCATAAAAACCAACGGTACCTGTCGTCATCGCGTCCAGGAGCTTCCGCACTATTATTTTCTTGTGTATCTCCTCCACCATTCTCAGCATTTCCATTTAGTTGATTTTCGGTTACGTCTTGTGCAAAATTATCGTTATTTGCCATGACTATTTTAGGATATTTTTACAATAATAATAAACTAAACCTAAGGTCTACACGCGACCTTCAACTCCGAATGCCAAATGAAGAAGAAAGAAAGGAAATGCGTGATGAGTCGGCGCGAAATTTTCCGTAATGTTGGCTACACTCAACAGACGCGCTTTTTTTTTGCAAACATTTTAAACCCCTCCACTTTTCTGGCCAATCAGCAAAAAGTAGTCAGAGCAGGTCAATGGCATTTCCAATGTGCAAGTAGAACAAAATGAGTCGAATGTACACGTTTAAAAGGGACAGATTATGAAGAATTTGGTGGCAATGAATCAATACCGGTGCCAATATAATAAAAAAAATACCGCGTACTCTCTCTGTGTTTTAGCTGTGTTCAGAAATTTGTAAAACTTGTCAGAATTAATATGAATGATTACATGTCATCATATTATCCAAAAAATAATGATCATTCATTAAATACTTAATATAATACATACAATATATATATATATATATTAATAGCATAATATAAGTAAAATATAAAAATAATACTCTAACAAAACCGTACACTATGAATGGCTGTTATCTACAATTATATTTATATCTATAATATTATAGCTTGTATCTATTGCCGTATAGACGTTTAAATACAGAGAATGGATAATGGAGTGTTTTTGAAGTGACATTTCCCTAAACTTAATATTTTATATTGAGAATTTCGCGAAATTATTGTTTTACGGATCATCATAAACCAAATTTATATCAATATTGGCGTAAATGTATTAGAAATTTAGTTTTTATTTGTCCTTAGAATAAAGATTTCACATAACAAATGGAACTTTAATTTTAGAGATAGCCTTCGCTTCAGAATCGATCCCAATATTTAAAGTTTTGTATGGGATCTAAATATCGCCGTCGGCTGTTATCTATTATATGACAAGGTCAACTCGACACAATGTTTTAATTTTAATACTGAAACAATCTGACTTGTACTGAAATAATAATAAAATATGGAACGCTATTAGGTCAATCATTGAACTCGCTGTTAGAATAATTTTAATGTTGAAATAATTTTAAAATGCAATTTAAATTATTATGAATTTTTCAGTAGTATGGGATTTATTGCGTTCTGTATAGAACCAACTTAAAACACATTTTCACAAGAATAGCAAGCATTTTGGGAATGTTGTGGAGCTTTTCTGCGACTTTGCGGAAAGAAGCTGATATGTGTATACGGAAAGATTTATACTCACTACACTGAGCTGAGATCCATCCAAACCAGATAGTATAGACACAAAAAGATACATTTCTTCTCTAGGTAAAGAGCATAATATTCATTGATCTAGTCCATTAAAAAAGACGGTTGAACGCCTTGAGTCAAGCACGTATTTTTCCGTTTCTAATGAATTCTGTACACGATTAAAGCGACATTGAATTACATTACACATATATTTTTTATTACATTCCCATAATTTATATAGTTTACATAAATTAAGACAGCAATTTTCTCCGTCTAGAACTCTAATTTCAATATGAATGTGATGTTAGAATTGATTGTAGGCAGTTTAATATTCATTCCCAATGGAGTCAATTCTGAAGCGCTATTTACCGAGAGCTATCTCTAAGTTAAAAGTTATATTTTATATCCTTTCAAAATCTTTAATAAATAGGACATCATTCCATAGGTATTATTCTTAATCTATGATTAAAAATGTTTATATATTTATAGGAACAGCACAGCATATTCCATTATAACATGTATAACAAACATTAAATAAAATATTATTGCACATACCTTTTAAAGGTTTTTACAGCATTTATTTTAACATAATTTTACATTTATACATTTAAACATAATGTTATAGACCTTATTTAAAATGCTATAAAATAGAATTCTTTATAAAAATAAATTTGTGGAAATGTAAGAAGTTTTTAAAATAAGATTTTCAGTTTGACGGTGGCAAATCGTTTGCCAACGCCAAAAATAGGTTTGTATCGCTTTAAAAAAAACGACGTCATTGCAACATTTTTTTTTTTCAATTTGCAACACTAGTAACAATTATTAAAAAATAAATTGACATCCGAAAGGTGAGGTAGGCTCTTTTTCTGTTTTCAGACCTTATTTATTGTGAAAATTACGCGATTTTCGTGATAGTTTGTAGCACATTACACCACTTTGATGCCTAAATTGTACTGAGGTAAGTTTATAATATTTTAACTATACTTTGAATTCTAAAAAAATTATATTTTGATTGTCGGCGGACGTATTTCTTTTAAAGGTTAATCCCCCTTAAATCAGTATTATCAGTCATATCTCTTTTATAAGTGTAAAATGTTACTGTTGTGTTAACATTTAATGCCATATTTCAACGTTATAATAATATTTTGCCGAAAAATTTGTATACTGTCATTAGCTTCCAGATTAAGTCGCCATGCGTGCTTTGACAATACCAGCTCGTTGTGGTTCATTTTACGTATCCGATTCACACCTGTGAGCTATATTTTATCTAAAACTTTTTATACAAGAAAAATAGGTGATAATCGCCTAAATTATGTTTTTATACGATTACATTTTGTTGTTTACCTATTAGTTTATAACAATAAACATTGAAATCCCTAGAAATATTGTACATGACTTAATTCGCCGCCGAAAATAAAGTAAACATTTTAGTTTACAAGTTGTATTTGTATTGTACTTGAAATATTGACTAACATTTACTACATATTACAAGATAAATGATTCTAGATAAGTTAACGAAATTCATTGTTCTAACTATAAATTCAAACCAAACATTGAATATTGTTTATCATTATTTATTGTGTTATTTTACACAATTTTAATTGATACATTTATACTTAACAGGTGTTTCTGTCATACTAGTATTACAAAATCATACATTTTCTGCTCAAATTAAACCTGAAACTTAGTGTAGGATTGCAAATAATTTCTTCATTATGCTGTAATGATAATTGTTGCAATAGATCATTTGTCAATAATAATTAACAGCTATTAATTGATTTTAAATATGAAATTATAATTGCTGTCATTAACAAATGAATGCTAATAGTTAATGTATATACTTAAGAATCATTACAAAGAAATTAAAAGTCATAAATTCTTAACATAGCTGATAACTATATGCTTTAAATAGAGGCAGTCTATAGTAATACTCTATTTCTATTCATACATAAAACGGTTGAGCATCTCTTGGAATAGTCTGTACAAGGAGATAGTTCAAAGTTATTTATTTGGTAAGTCTATTTTAGCTATTAATTCTGTTTGTGGTGAACAATGCTTACATATTGTATTGCACTTTAAAGAGTCAGACATAGGAGATTACTAGGCACTGCTGTGACTCAACACTTACAAGTCACATGGTATTTTTTTAAATGGAATGGTAACTCTGGAATATTGATATATGTTGGCTGGATATCAGTGAGTGATAGGTGAGAAAAATGTGAGACCAGTTGCCAATTATGATAAATTAATTTCAACAATTCCTTAAGGAACCACATGGAGATTGTCCTGATAATATACCCTATATTGCTATTAATATTTATAGATAGATATTAATAGTAATAATTATAGAATTATGATGGGCTGTAAGCTGTTACATGTGTTTGATATTTCTGGTCTACTGTTGTAATTTGCATAAAAAGTCTTTAGTGTCAGTCAGTGCCAATGTTGTATAAATAAAAAACACAAAATGCTCATAATTGTTATATAGGTTTATATTTTATATTTATATATTATTTTTATATTTACTTTAAAACAAAACTAGATGGTCTAGTTGGGTCTACATGTGACTTTGTATCTTCTTAAGCCAAAAACTACATCGGTCTCGAATTATTATTAACATACAAATGCTGCTTATTTCTACAGCACAGCAGAAGAATAATTTAGCTTAGTTTTTACTTACATTTAAATTTTTTTTGAGTCTTTTACATTCTTCTTTATATTCAGTCTGTTTAGTGTAAAGTTTCCCCAATTTTTAGTTATATCTAATATTTTTTTAAACGCTTAATTACAGAATGAACAATAATTTTTCTTTTATCTCCATTAAAAACAAGATTGATTAACATCAAGAATGCTTATTATTTTGTAAGCTACGCATTTTTTCCAAACAGCTATGAATATCAAATCTACTCCAAAAATTAAGGACAGATTTGGTAACACTATAGATACAATGATTGAGTTTTTCTTATTGCCCTATCTAAAAAATATATGTGTATTATCTATCATATAATATTCCTTATTAACAGATTTAAAAGGAGATTCCGAAATTTATTTACTGTATTTTTATTTTTGGATATATTTTATGATAACTATCCTGTAACATCTGACATTTTGTAGCAGTTTAATTCAAAATAAAATATATAAGTTTATACAAGAAATCTTTTAAGTTTCCTTTTCTTTCATCATCTGTTGAGAAGAAATTCTAATTATTCATCTCTGCTAACATGGAGTATTTATTTATTTGTATATTTTAATAATGGCGGTGCTGCGGTTGTTTGTAGGTATAGCGGAGGGCTGTATTGGCGCATTGTTAATAACAGCAATGGTAATGGAGGCGTCCCCGTCCCCGCAGAGCGTTGGCCGCGAGTTTGTCCGCCAGTACTACACGCTGCTCAACAAGGCGCCCGCCCATCTGCACAGGTAAATGCGACGACAATGCTCCATCCATTTATATATATTTGAATCTTTCAAAATAACCACGCAGCCACATGGTCACTTTAGTTAAGAAAGTCAAACATTTATACACATAATTTATATGTGATTTCATCCATGTGGCTGAGATATAACCTATACCATTCTATATTCTAAAATTAAATATTGTATACATGTATTGTATGCAGTTACTGTTACTATACAATAATGAGTCAAAGAACCATAGTCCATTTCTAGAAACAACACCAAGAATGGGCCCTTATAACAATTACTTTTCCAGTTGTCTACCACTGTAGACATTTGCAAAGGGTCTCAGTTCTGGGAATTTTTTTACGACATTCTTCCGTGATCCTTTACAAACAAAATGTTATTGTTATCAGTATATTTAATGAATTTTTGTTTAACTGCGCGCTCGTCCTTGCACTGGCCTACACTGTGCATTGTTCTCAATATTTTTCCATTAACAATAACACGTGGCGATGCTATGTAGGTATAGGAAGGGCTCAGACTTTACAATTTGTGGATGACACTTAACATGTTTCAGTATGGCATGAAAATAATTTTATTTTTAAATATGTCTGCCATTGTCCACTTGAGTGTCGGTAATTTGATGTGTTCCTTTGTTTAATCTTATCTTTACTAATAATGTTCATCATTTATTTTGTATCAGCCTTAAACTGTCCACTGCTGAACATAAGACTCCCACTTTGGGGGTTGCCAGTAGTTGTCACGCTTAGCAAGTGGTTGGCAACCACAGTTAGGCTTTTAAAGAGGGACACTGCTGTCTATGCATTGCCCTCCCTTAGTCGTCTATTCTATGCCGGGACCACGCGGCTAATAATTATACACAGCTGCTAAGAATGTTACCTGTTATAAATATGAAAACAACTTTGTTACTTGTTGTCATCTTAGCATCTCAATTAATTGCTATTATATTAAATTTGTCATATGCATAGTGTTTTGCATAGACAAACAATAATATTTTTCTATCAACCAATTAATAAATACACAGTCTCTAGTAACCCTAATGTTAATGTGAAGCACTTTGTAAACAATACTAAATTCAATATTAATTCATTTGTACTTATCAGTCGCTCTCATATGAGAGAGAAGTCCTAACAATGCAAACCAAGTCTAGTGGACTTGATAAAATGCAGTGTTGTATGATTCACAGAAAAATTATAATAAAAAAACATTTTTGAAGCTTATCATGCACCCAAAATAAAAGGAAAAGTCTTTTTAACACATTCAGTGTAGACTAGTTCTTTTGTTTTCTTTCTTTCATTACTTTAATAACATATTGTCTATTATCTAAATCACAGTGCTGAGCCAATGTTTGTTACATATATATTTGCTTCTTAAATAACATTAAAATTACAAGTTTTTCAATTGACATGTATTTTTTGTATCTGTATTAGATGATTTTTTTTTAATACTACTTAGAATGGCAAACAAGCTGACGGCCCACCTAATGGAAAGACACCTATAGACATGAGCAATACCATGGACATAACAGAGTATACTGTTTCGCCCATGATATTTATTCGCCATTTATTATTCACCAATTGTAAAAAGATGTTGAGAATTCTTTTTTTTTTTTAAGAAATAATTTGATTATGATTAATTAATTTTATAATGATTTTGAATATAAAATATAATAAGCTGTATTATCAGCGAGTTTTATCCTTTCTTTGCATGATTTTTTTTTTATTGGTGAAATAAATCAATGTGATATAATTCATGTTCAAAATTAAAACAAAAATTGTTAAAACAATAAATTTGACAGCTATGTTTTGTTTTTTGCAATGGACATTAAAAAGGTATCTTGACACGATCAACTTAAAGTGAACTTGGTCTTTTATATAATTTTTGGTCATTCAATGTTATAATGGAAATTTCCACCATTATGCAAAGAAGGGTTAAGGCTATATGTATATTACTTTGAAAAATTCTGTTTACTCGTGTGAAGCGGGACAGGATGATCAGTGTACAATGAACTGAATGATACAGGTTTTATAACAACTACTCGTCGTTCGTGCACGGCGGGCTGGACGCGCCCAACCGCGAGACGCTGCCCGTTGTCGGACAGAAACAAATCCACAACCGCATACAGCAGCTCAACTTCCGCGACTGCCATGCCAAGATCAGTCAGGTAGCAGCCCACTCATTGCATGATTGCATTCACAACGTAACAAAAAAGCTAAAATGATATGGTTCACTATTACATTTGTACTGCAATTTTGTGAACTGAATTTTTTTTTTTTTATACTACTTAGAATGGCGAACAAGCTGGCGGCCCACCTGATAGAAAGTAGTAACCGTCGCCTATAGACATGAGCAGTACCATGGACATAACAGAGTATACTGTTTCCCCCGTGATCCCCCCCATGCGTTGCCATTCCTGAGGACTCAAGTGTTATTCCTCTGTACCCAGTAAATTCACGCCATATCCCACCCTTTAAACCGAAACACAGCCATGCAAACACAACTGCTTCACGGTTGAAACACGAATGGGACAGAGGTACCCAAGCAATCGACTTTTGTACAAAGTCTCCCTCTGATATCTCTATCAATTCCATTTATTCGCTTCTTGCTACAATTTCTTTGGGGTCACAGGAAAATACACCAAAATTCATTGGAAATTTTCTCTTTCCATTGAATTGTGAAACTATGGACATACAGAATACTGTGATGCCCATGGCACCCCCATGTGTTAGTAATTATGCACCAAAATCCTTTGTGTTATTTACAAAAAGTGATCAAAAACATATAGATGTGGACAGCAACTTTGACGACCTTAGTGGATGTGTAAATTAATATAGGACATTTTCTTCCAATAGTCGTAGGTTCGATTCATGCATAATACAAACATTTTTATTCATTACTGTTTTTTTTTTTAATGGATGATAATGGAATGGTAACTCCGCATTCACCAACGGTATACACTGGTGGGGCACCAGTAAGGAATGATATGTGAGAATGAAAAGGCAGATCAGTTAGCTTATCGTGATGAATACACCTGGAATTTAACAGAATTATATAGTACATTAAGAAGGAAGTACAAGGTCTGTCAAACAGAAAAATTTAATACACACTTCATAACAAAATTTCAATGTTATATTGGTCCACGTTTATATAATAAAATAAATAAACAATTAGAATTATACAATTTGAACTCATTTCAAATTATGAATAAGTTAGTACCTTGGTTGAAAACCCTAGATTATGATAAAACGGAACAACTGTTTAGTATAATGACTTAATTTATTAACCATTTAAGAGTGTATTGGTGTCCGGGAATACTGATTGAAATAGAGATATGACCTGTTCGTATGCCAGATCTCATTCAGTACTATTTATTATTTTGTTTTTTTTTTTTTATTTTTTTTATTTTTATTTATTTATTTGTTTATTATTATTATTATTTTTTATTATTGATGCATTTACACATCTTCCTTCGTTTATGCTATTTGTATAGTTGCATAGCTATATAAAAGCATTACTCTAATTATGGTAGTATTAATACAGCGGGATACATGGATAATAATTTTTGCCCTAATGTTTCCCGTGTCTTTGTCCATTCCCAATCGCTACTTATATATTATTCTGGTGTCCATTAGTATATGTGTATGCATTTAAGATGTGTGAGTTTATATCTATATATGTAGTTGAGTATTTGTTTAAAATCCACAAATGAATTTGTAAAAGATGTAGCCATCAATCATCATGTAAAATCATACGGGGCAGAGAAAAATAAACAAGTAATAAGGGGAAGGAAAAAAGAAAAAAAGAAGAAGAGAGAAAAAAAAAATTAATAAATTGAAATCCATTCATAATTGCAAATGTTCATAGTTTGTATGGTCTCACCTGACTCATTTTTTCATCGCACTAATGACCAGCTGAACAATGCAGAGCATGACAACTATTTTTACTTATAGTGGCACATTTCTTGATGCAACATTGTAGTTTATTTTCAGATACCCTATTTTAGTAATATATACATGTTGTTTACTGAATCATGTACTATTTTAATTTAGCGAAACTGCACGAAAATATGTATCTAATAGAAGGCATTAGTGTCTAAGATACAGGCTAGTGTGTGGGCATAATGCTACTCTTTATATACATATAATTAACGTTGAAATTTCTGTAAGCCCATGACTGTATATTTTTTATGTGCAATAAATCTTTATTATTATTATTATTATTATTATTATTTCCAGGAGGGCCACATGGAGATAAACCTAACAATCTCCCCCTCACTACTGTGTTTGTGTGTATTGGTTTAGGTGTTTACTGTGTATATGTATTTACAAAAAGGGGAGTATTTAAATATTTCTATAACTCATGAAGACATAGAAAAAGATGGAAGACGTTAGACGAGGCCTTTGTGTTGAAACAACATGTTCACCCGTCGACTGTTGTGCGGCATAAAATTAAATCTATCATTTAGTACGTATAGTACAAGTCTGTTTAATTTAGAGCTAGAAGATGCTGGAATATGTTTAGGAATTGTTATTATTTATTCTTTATTGACACAAAAAAATACAACAATATAATATATATAAAATAAAGATGTACAACAGGCGAGCTTAACTCTGTAAGAGTTCTCTTCTAGTATACCCTGAGTTGAGAGGAGCATTAATTACTAGCGGGCAGTGTGCGTACAATAATAGAAGGAAAAATAGATGTTTCTATTAAAAAATATGAAATATGTTGACATATATAAGTAACTCATACAATTAAAATCAAAATAAATACATATCCATATACAATAATACATATACATATATACATAGACATAAAATATCTCTTTACATACAAAATACGTACATATACATACATAGACATAATAAGTTTATGAGGACAGAGATGCTCTTTTAATCTGCTCTTGAATATATTCAGCGATTGACTTTCACGAATTATTTATTTTATAATATTTAAAAAGAGCATCAGTTGAGGCTCACAATACTTCTGCTGTGCTCGAATGAGCGGTAAATTCGTAATGACGCTATGTGTGTGCAGGTGGACGCGCAAGCGACGCTGGGCAACGGCGTGGTGGTGCAGGTGACGGGCGAGCTGTCCAACGGCGGCGCGCCCATGCGCCGCTTCACGCAGACCTTCGTGCTGGCCGCGCAGTCGCCCAAGAAGTACTACGTGCACAACGACATCTTCCGATACCAGGTGCTTAGTTCGTACCCACACCCTGCTCCCGGGACGCCTCCAAACACCTACATTTTGTACTGATTTCGAAAAGAAGGATGCTCTCGATTTGCTTATATTTTTTTTATGTCTGTTATCTTATTAATCCGTCTGTGAGTTGTAAATCAATTTGGAAAATTCATTTTTTTTTGGAAGAATATGTTCAGCACGGTAAAAAATCTTTTTTGTGCCATTTGAGTATGTTTTTTTTAGTCATGAGAAATTAGTGATCTATGCAATTCTACATTAGCTTATAAGCTTCGATTAATATGATAAAAATTTATCAATTCTTAAAAATTTGTTGTCTAAACTCGAGTCGGTCTCGAAAATGTCTGATGCGGAAACGTCGTCCTCTCAGGACATAGTGTTCTCGGACGAGGAGGGCGAGGGCTCCGGGCGGTCGGAGGGCGAGGAGGAGGAGGCGAGCAGCGCGGGCTACTTCCCGCCGCCGCCGCCGCCGCCCGCCGCCTTCCCGCCGGCGTCGTTCCCCGCGCCGCCCGCGCCGCCGCACGTGCCGCTCGTGTCGCCGCCCAGCCTGGCGCCGCCCGCCGCGCCGCCCGCCGCGCCGCTGCCCGCGCCGCCCGCCGCGCCCGCCGCGCCGCACATCAACGGACACCCGCCGCACGATGACACCAGGCATCTCGTTTCTGCATTGCAAGGTACACCTTCGGTGCTTTATAAACCGATCACTTTGTGGTACCTAGCTCTCTCTCTTCAGTCGTACACTCTTGACAGAGTGGTTGTGGTTTTTATGATGATAGTGCATCGTCGATGAGGGCCTCCATCGCGATTGAGGTTGACCTAGCCAGGAGATGGTAAAGTTTACATTAGAAAACTTATTGTCTTCCTGAGCAGATTGATTTTTACTGTCTTCAAATTTTCTAATAATTTAGGTATTTGATTAGCTGACTATGTAGTCGCTATTATACCAACATCCTTGAATATTGATTAAAAATACAGTCTAGATAAAAAATATCTACCTTTTTAACCTTAATATAATACAATAATGAAACTGCAATAGTTTAAATAAATTAATTTAAATTATTTTTTTATTAATTTAAACTTATCAATTGACGGAGCTGGCGTGCTTCCAGCGTCGACCATATCGAGCGGCGTGAACGAGCGCGACCTGGAGGCGGAGCCGTGCGCGGCGGCGGCCGAGCCCGCGCCCGAGCCCGAGCCCGAGCGCGAGCCGGAGCCCTCGCCGCCGCCGCAGCCGCAGCCCAGCCCGGTATGCACTACACCCATGTTATATATTTTTTACTCTCATCTCATACTATATTTTTTAAGCGATCTCAAAACAAAGGAAGTACTCAATTAATCTGAACTTTTTTTTGTAATTTCGCTACGAAATTGCGTTGTCAATTCTGATCTGGCATTGACAATTCATTTTGCAATTAGTAGAGTTTATTAACCCTTTTTAGTTGGAAGCTGTCAGTTGCCTTTGCAGAGCAAAAAGCTGATTATTGCAATGCGAAATATATATGTAAATACATAATATTTGTAACGTATCCTACGTCCAGATAACAAATAAAATATTAAATTAGTAACCAGTACACAGTAAGCATGTAACGTGTGTGGTGTCGCAGCTGCGCCGGCGGCAGCGCCCGAGCCGAAGACGTACGCGAACCTGCTCAAGTCTGGGTCTGGTGGCGGCGCTGCACCGCCGCGCAGTTCGCCGCCGTCGGGCGCCGCGCCCGCCGCCGCCGCCGCCGCCGCCGCCGCCGCCGCCGCCGCCGCCGCCGCCGCCGCCGCCGCCGCGCCGCACGACCCGCGCCCGCGCCCCACGCGCCCTTACCAGGATATCGGTACTTCCAAATGTAAATAACATAGCCAGTAAGCTTATACATATACATGTCGTACGTACCCTGCACGTTGCGCTGTCGTATGGAAGCCGGCTGCCTAGTCTGACTGGTAAAAAAGATTTGCGTTGCGTCTCCGTTCATGATTACGTCGAAAATTTGCAGCGCCTCTAGTGGACGGTTCCGAAAACTCAGATTTGAGCGCAGTCGTAACGTGAATCTTTGTACGATTCGCACTGAGCAGGCTGCGAGTCTTTTGTATTACTCTGACGTATTCCTTATTTATTTTCAAATTATTAAATTTTGTTTTTGTTTTACTTAAATGTCATTTTACACCCATCAGTCTGTCTCTAAAATAAATTAATTATGCAAACCAAAGAAAATATAAATTTTAAATGGTAATATTTGTTTTTATAACTATGAATGCTCTAGTTCTTTTCCTCCCCAAGTGTCTTCTACTGTAGATGTATCTCAAGGCTCTATTCTTGGTTCATTGCTATTCTTAATTGATATTTAATGGTCACCCTTTTTGTATGCAAGACAGATGTGATATACTACTGTTTGCCAATTAAGTTGTAGAATAATGTTATTAAAAAGATACAACCATTTTCCTTTAATTATCATCATTAAAATTCTATCGTAAAATAAAAATATATAACGAATCGGGTTGGTGTCGCAGCGGAGGGCGGCGGCGGCGGCGGCGGCTCGCGGCGCTACTCGGACTCGCAGCAGCTGTTCCTGGGCAACCTGCCGCACTGCGCCACCGAGGAGGCGCTGCGGGCGCTGTTCGCGCGCTTCGGGCCCGTGGCCGAGCTGCGCGTGCACGGCAAGCCCGGCGGACACCACCCCAACTACGGCTTCATCACCTACGAGACGCCGCAGGCCGCGCAGGACTGCCTGCACGCCGCGGTAAGTACGCCCTAGTCTCCTATGTAAATATGTCAATACAAGAGATAAGAGATACAACTTGCTTCTAATTTCTAGTAGCTTTTACATAAAAGTACCGTTGTGATTGATTCAAATGAAGAATTGGAACTATAATCGGACAGTCTACTACACTGTGTTCGTGGCAACTTACTAGTATTAATTCATGACGGCCTCGGTGCTTGCACCTTCTCAGGTCAATCTCTACGTGATTCCACCTTGAAATCATCATGGTTAATTCTCTTGTAATTCGTCACAATAAGCTAACTTGTTTTCATCCTCATCTATCATCCCTCTCTAGTGCTCCACCAGTGTATAACGATAGAGCAGGTGGAATTACCATTCCATTCTCACCCATTAAAAAAAAATTTAAATTAATGTTACAAAGTTTTCACTCTTGGCTATGAAACTTTATGGATAAGTGTGTGGTTTGCTACATTCGGGCATGTGTATAACGTGTGGCGTGTGTGTCCGCGCAGCCGCTGTACTTCCCGCCGGACAGCGCGGACGGCGTGAAGCTGAACGTGGAGGAGAAGAAGGCGCGCGGCCGCGAGCCGCCGCGCCGCCGCCCGCTGTCGTCGCACCGCGCCGCCTTCCCGCCGCGCGCCGCCTACCGCCGCTAGCAGCCACGCACAGGTCGGCTATTTCACTCATTTCTGGAAACCATCCCCATTCACTGCTATTTATAGATCTCCCTAAAACTTTTTGTTGGTTAGTTCACATGAGTATTTCTTCAAAAAGTAACAAATAAAAAAGTACAATTCAAGTAGGCCGCCGAAACGCAACTTTTGAGCAATATGGCGTCAGTGACGTCACATTGAAGTAAATTTTAGTCGAGTCTCGTAAACGAGTTTCGTCAGTATTTATTTTTTCTTAATTTTTACCGTTTCTATTTGTGAAGATCATTTTAATGTAAATTCATAAACATATTGATGTAACTAGTACTTAATTTTAATCCTTCAATTTTATGAAAATCTTCATTACTAATTTGAGATTATAATTCAATGTTGTTTTCAATGATTTAGCAGTCGAATAATAAAATTAGTAATTACTGATTATTTAAATGATGAATGAATTAAATCATTCGTATCCGCGCATACATTCTCATTCGTGTTTCTACCGTGAAGCAGTTGTGTTTGCATGGCTATGTTTCGGTTTGAAGGGTGGAATATGGTAGTGAATTTACAGGGTGCAGAGGAATAACACCTGAGTCCTCAGGAATGACAACGCATGGGGGTATCATGGGCGTAACAGTATACTCTGTTATGTCCATGGTACTGCTCATGTCTATGGGCGACGGTTACCACTTGTTAGGTCAGGTGGGCCGTCAGCTTGTTTGCCATTCTAAGTTGTAATAAAAACCTGCCAAGAACGCAAGGGAACATCAATGGCAGACATTTTATTTACTTCCATGTTACGTCACTATACATTCCAGGTCATACAGTAGCTGTGTCCCACGGTTACGCTTGTGGGCCTAATGTACTATTGAATTTTATATATCCTTCCTCAAAAAATTATTCAAATCAAATGCAAAAATATTTTTTTAAAATGGACTATTAGTTTTAGAGATGAGAATGTCGAAACATAAAGTCTTTGTAGATGTTACATATTTTTACATTACTAGTATATTTAATAGTTTTTTTTTTTTTTAATTGCGGTGTCAATGATGTGTTTTAATGCGTGCTGTTGTCTGCCGTGCAGGTGCGTGGTGGCGGCGGCCCGCCGGCTCCCCGACTGCGGAGTGGTCGCCCGGCCGCGCCGCGCCCCCTAGGGACACCACACAAAACGCAATGTTACGTTAACATGTAGATACTTTTCTTTGTTTTTTTTTTATATAGATCTATTTCCGGTGGGAGTCCCCGCCGCGCGGCGGCCCGGGGGAGCCCGCGGCGACTCCTCCTAATTATATTTAACACGCTTCGCATATCGCTTTCTCTTTATTTCTTTTAAGTAGTTAGATAGTAAATTAATAATTTTGGTTGGCGGCGCGGGCGCAGCCGCCGCGGACCACGCCTCCTCGCCGGCCGGCGCGGGCGCCGGATTCAGTATTTCAATTCGCACCGTTCGCGCCTATGGAACGATAAACATTTGGACTTTGGCTTCTTCCGTGTAGCGTGGCGTGACGGGAACGAATTGAAATGCTAATCCCGCGTGCAGAATTAGTCGCCGCCGTCGCTCGCCGCGACCGTCGACCTTGTTTTGTGATTTTATACATATTTTGTATGTTTTACACGGAGCGCAGGCGCGTAGGCCGCCAGGCTCGCCTCAGCCGTAAGCTAGTTTGTGCCGATCCGCCCATATATTGTCGAGCGCGGTGGCGGCCGCCCGTCCGCCGCGCCTTGTTGTATCGGCAACACTTATTTTGTAAGTCGCTCGTTAATTTTTTTTATGAATAAAACTATCGAAACTCACCTTTTAAAGTTTAATTTGAGCCTGAAGTAAATCGATCGAATCGTTGTACTTTAATTCGAGTGTAGAGACCACTACCACGTAGTAGCGCGCGGGCGGTCGCAAGCTCGGCGGCGCGCCGCCGACGCCGCTTGCGGCCGCCCGCTTCTGTCCGCCGCATGCATACACTGTATGATGGAACTTCACGTGACTGTAAATAGTTGATACTTGCGCATGCGCGCGCGCATGGGAATTATAAATTGTAGATTAGCTCCGGTATATTTGCAGAAACTAAATATTAAACTTATATTGAAAGTGATCATACATCATGTATCCGGTGGCAGTGAACGGTGACGATGCACCTTCTGTGCGTCGTGTCGCGGGGGCGACCAATGCCAGCAGGCAGCCGGCTCGCGGCGCACGGCGTCCGCTGGACACATATACGCCAAATATCTGAATAGCAACTACAATATTATAATAATAATATCCTTATTGCACTCCACTCTGTCTAAACCAATTCAATTAAGCAATACTACCAAAAGATTAAGGTTTTGATCTCTGCATTGAATAGGCATTCGTTTTACCCTATCTTCACAGAAAAAAAAAAAACTATTTGGTGAATATTGTATGTCCACTGTGTTAGGTGCTAGTATTTCGAAAGTTGACACGCTATATCTTGTCCATTTTATTCTTTATACCTGTATGCAGATTACGTACGCTTCAAATAGAATGGAACTTCATACATACATTGAACATATCCCAGATTATCAGAATACATTATAAGAGACAGTGCAAAAGCATCGGTATTTACAAGAGCATAAGAACTGTTATTGTGGGAGGGATAAATTGGACAAGGTGTACAGTGGGCCGGTTAGTAGCGGCCGGGCCCCGTGCAGCGCCCGCGTTGCCTCACCGCTTACTGGCATTGGTTCTGTTCCCCGTCCCGTCACGTAGCTGCGTATTGTACTACTAATGTTTGTTAATTGATACAAATTGGCAGTGACTCTTATATTATATATAATTTAATGCGGTATGTTTATATTGTCATCTATTTTTCTAACTAAACCCAATTATTTACATAAGCATTATATTAATACTATATCTTCGAATAATTATTCATTACATTGTAAACATACGGTGCAGTGTCACGAATGCTGCCAACGCGCCATCTGTGAGCTGTCTACTGGTAATCGTATTATATTTAAAGTATATTAAAGTAACGCATTTATTCTTTCCCATTTGAATAAGTTTACCTACAGAATCTAAATTATATATAAGCGGTCCGTCGTAGGTACACCTGCATGCACCAGTGCGTGTGACAGACTGGCTCAGTTGTGATGAATTGGAGCACAGTTGTTGTCCGAGTGTACCTACAGCCGACCCTCTTATCTAGTTTTGGTTCTGTAAGAATAATTTGTGGGATATTCATTCGGTGCTGGCGTCTGGCGAGCCGTCCACCGCGCCGTATGTTTTCATTGGAGGTTTGTTAAAATTTCGTGTACTTATTTATATTGTAAATAATTTGGAATCAAGTTTAACTGTGACTTGGGACGGACATCGCGTACGTGCACCCGGACACCCGGACACCCGCCTGCGTTGCCTTTTACTCCTTCTCGATCCTCACATCTTAGTTTTCCTTTATCACAATCACGTTTACATTTTGCTGATTTCCAAACTATATGTTATTTAAATTAAGTAAACATTTAATTGGAATGAAGATTTATGTAATGAACAGAGCATTCTATCTATCGTCAAGGTCGCTGTTCCCCCTAGTCTTCTATTTCCGTTATCCGCTCCCACCTCGCCCCATGTCCTCGGTGCACCGCACGCAGCGCACCTAACTTGAACGATACAGTGAGCAATATCGTACAAGTTGAAAGACCATTCACTATTATACACAAATTTAGTTCACATACAAACGGTCAGTGCAACATAATTATGTTTGAAACCTTCCATTTGAAGACTGTAATAGTTTATAGCGTTGTTTTTAAAACAGTATTGTCCGTCACTGCCAAGCGCGCGCCCCGTCCGCACGCGGCCGCATGCGGACGCCCGCGTCGGCACGCGGCCGCCGCAGCCGGGCCGCGCGCCGCGACCATGGTCGGCTCTCCCGTTCGGTACAGTTGCACGCTCGTTGTGCTACGGCGTGACTGTGGTACGTGGGCGTGTAGCGCGCTGTATCGGCCGATGTCTGTCTGTCTGTCCGCGAGTGGGCAGGCCCGCTGCGAACGACTGCAACTTCGATCTTGATGTGAACGGCCCCCGACCCCGCGTGCCCCGCCCCGCCCCGCTTTACTTGATTGAGCCGCAGTCGCAGGCCGGCCCGGGGTCGCGAGCCTGTGGTTAACAGTGATTTTTTTTTCTATAAATTCGCGCGGAGAGCGCGCGGCGGCGGTCGGCGCCGCGCCGCCCGCGCCGCCGCCGCGCGCGCCGCCCTCTCTAATAGAGATGTACTTTTTGTAACACGCTGCGAGTTTTATTTCCTCCTATGCCCCTAAACCTACAATAAGAAACGGCTAGATAATGTTATCAACATAGGATGCAGGTGGCTCGAGACCGTTCCTCATGGCAGTCTATAAGGAAAGGCCTCTGTTCAGAAGTGGACAGATGACGGCTATTATCACGATAATGAATCAACACAGCCAGCATGGTCGAAAAATTGATACAGGAGTTTGCTAAAAAGAAAATGCATTTTTTTTTTACCTGTACACCTATAAGTGATAAACAAGGACCTAGCAACTGTTGCATACTAGTAAAAGTGCAGTTTTATATGTATGTGTATTATGTTGGAATGTAAATATATTTAAAAAAAGCATTATGAGGGCCCTGATCATGATTTAAAACGGTTCACATTTGTGGATCAAATACCATATTTAGTGTACAGATATGATTTTACTGTAGTTTTATTGATTTTAGTATTTACAATCTGTAAAGATTGTGATGGAAATTAGATATAAATAAATATATATTATATATATGCGACTAGCTTTTTTGTATACCATTCCTTACATGGTGTGCCATACGCTCTTAAGGTAATTTCACCGAACACATTGAAAGCCAACATGGCTATAGCCGGAGCCATCCAACCAACGTCGTCACGTGGATCAGAGGTTTGTAATTAGTGTGTCGTGGCGATTGAAAGGATACTGTTCTATATACTGAGAATGGTAGGTACAGTATTAGGAAGATCTTTATCACTTTCCATCAAGTGGGCCGTCAGCTTGTTTGCCATTCTAAGTTGCATTAAAAAAAAAGCCAAACTGCGGTTACCAACCCGCCGGTCAAATTACTGGCAAAATTCTCCCAATGGCAGACTGTTATAGCCCAGTTACTTATGATAGTCTATCTTCGGGCAGACTGTGCGGGGGGAAATCGGAATCCATTGAACACTTGATGTGCAACTGCGATTCGTTGGCAAGTATGCGTATAAGTCTACTGGGAACGGCTTATCCAGAACCAGGGAACTACAGATATCTTAAACCGCGGGATATCGGTTAGGTAACTCATAGGATCTATGAAATGATGGTATAAAGCAGGGGGAAGCACAAAAAATCCGTATGGGTCGACGTGCATCGGCTTAGTTGACCCCATATGCGAAAAAAAAAGATATGATAGTCTATGGAGGAGGCCTATATTCAGCAATAGACAAATGACGGCCGATGTGATAAATGATTATATTGTGACAGACTAAATTTCAAATATCGAATTTACTAATTAAAATTTAAATATGTTTTGTTTCAAATTTTGCACACCGTAGATAGAATGCGGCATGTACTTTTATTATTTCTGTATTGTATGATTATCAGATCAACATTTAACTGTCCACTGCTGAACAAGCCATCCCCCTAGAAGGGGATGCCAGTAGTTGCCATGCTTGGCAGGCGGATTGGCAACCGCAGTTAGGCTTTGGAAATGTTTTAAGAGGGACGCTGCTGTCCATCTCTCGCCCTCCCTTAGTCTTCTCTTACGGCACCCACGAGAAGGGGGTGACCTATTCAGACCTACCGGGACCACACGACACATTTTATCATCACAATAATCTGTTTCATGCAAATAAAAAAAATAATTTAATTGATTGATTAAAAATAAAAATATTATTAACACATAAATCCTGTCGAATTGACAGCAATTTCATCATGACAGGACGGGGATCAATAACTTTTATTGTATCCATTTTACGCCCATTCTTCAATAAAACGTAACTCGTGTTTCTCATACATGTACAGCCCATAAAAGATATCTTTTGTTTTGTTTATTGATTTCTCTACACGCAGCACATTATACTACATTTATGCTCTATACCTGCGTATGAAAATCAGAAGACAGAAAAATCGGCAAGGTTTCCGTAATCGGATATAGACATTCAAACATTATCAGGCTTGTCTTTTTCGAACTCTGTATTTCCATCACAGACTTAACATGCGTACTAAGTTTATATCCTAATAACCAAACGATTTATTTATTGTTAATGTATTCAAAGAAAGAAAGAAATAATTTTGAATATTCATTTTTATATTCCACTGTCTGTGTGTGTGTTTCAAAATACAATTTTTTATCCAACTTAAAATGGCAAACAAGCTGACGGCCCACCTGATGGAAAGTGGTAACCGTCGCCTATAGACATGAGCAGTACCATGTACATAACAGAGTATACTATTTCGCCCATGATACCCCCCATATGTTGCCATTCCTGAGCACTCAGGAGTTATTCCTCTGTACCCTGTAAATTCACTGCCATATCCTTCAAACCAAAACACAGCAATATACAATTTCAGCTACAATTATGAATTTGTGTGAATACAAACTACCAAGCTGTACTAGGTCATGAAAATTAACATATTACCATACAAATAGGTTTAGAACAAATATTTAAATTAAATCCGTTACAGCGGCCAGAGCAAAACAGTTCCTACAAGCAGCATCCGCTCATTAAAATGACGGATAAGCTAGTCGTCACTGCGCTCAATTATATCTCTCAATAAATTTTAAATTATAAACAGGCATGTATTCTCATTTACTTGGTATTTATTTGCACCATCCATCTATGAGAGACGGCTGCAGGATGTAAAAAGGTGCACTTACACCTTGACTGGAAAGAAAATATATAGATTTCTTTTATTAACTTGCTGTTTAAATAAAAAGCGTCTAAGTTACTGTTCAATTTGTTCGTTACATTATCTAACTTATGATTTATTAGTTAATAATCAGTGTAACGCATAGATGCATGTGCGCTTTTTTTAAAGTAATCACGCCGGCGCCGGCGCCTATGCTGTCCTCTAATACCTAATATTGTTCCAACACAAAAAAGCACATATTCAGATGGATATGTATGCGCGAAGTCGGAACGCTCGGGCGCAGAGCGGGTGGAAGGTGGACGCGGTGGCGGCGGACGCGCAGTCAGTACTCGGCGCTTCGGCAGTCCGTTTCACGCGGACCTCACTCACCCGTATACTGGCTGAAGTCTCAATAAACTTTTTTGGAATTGGTAAGTACACAATACGTTTACTATTTGGTTTAAAAGTAAATCAAACTAGGTATATACCTAATACATGTTTAACGAGCACATCACATGTGATCAGACTTGTGTTTAGTTTAGCAAGCGTAACTTTATTTGCTTATTTTGCATTTTTGTATCGTGTGCTGCACTTCAGTCTATATTTTATAGTTATTGGTGATTTTAAAAGTCGTTCAAAGCTATAAGTATTCTGAAATCTCTAAAAGTGTGTTTGTTTCATTATTTTTGTTTTTATTTTTATAAATGAGCACATGTCGACAAATAACCGCCAATATCTTATAACATTAATAAAATATTTGTAATTTTTTTTTAATTTATATCTATCCTTATATATTTTTTAATGCGTGAGAATGAAATAGTAACTTCGCCTGCATTATTGGTATACACTGGCGGGACACCAATGAGAGTTGATAGGCGAGGAACAAAGCAGGTCAGTTAGCTTATCGTGAACAATTCTACAAAAATTAACTACGATGATTTCCAGGGGTGACCGCGTGAAGGTCAACCTGATTTGCATGCAATAGCCTATATTGCTGAGGGGGAAAAGGGATTGTTAGTAATGAGGAGTAGCGGGGACATCAGCCCTTTTACTAGCAATATACCGCGAGGAGGTCGACCTCTCTTCGCGGTTCCCCCTGGAAACAGTCGTGAGTGATTCATTGGTGAATACGTCATGATGGGCTAACTGATCTGATTCATATTCATCTATCATCCGTCACTGGTACCCCGCCAGTGTATACCGATAGCGCAGGCGGGGCTACCATTCCATTATCGTTCATTAAAAAAACCTTATTTTGCTAGCAATGATGTTGATTAGGATCCACCCGCGCTATTCAAAAAAATTCTAACAATCATTTATTCATGTAGGACATTTTAGCCTCCCGTCAAATTTTTACATTTTATTTACCCTATGTATATAGATCCTACATGGAGATGTTTATTTACAATGATATTTATATAGGTGTCTATGTCAATATGTCGAAAATTGATATTACAATCAATAATTGAGAATTGATTTAACAGGTTTTGAATTTATTTAAGGGTAATTCCATGTTTATCTTATTGTAAATTTTTATACTGTATTTTTCTAAACGTGCTGGTAAATTTAGTCCGTGTTTTTTTTTTGGAAATAAGTCAAGATTTTTATGAACATATAGAATATTTGAATATATAAATTGAGAAGCAACGGTGAAATTTGCCTCTTTGAATTTCTCTCTTAATGAGTCACGACTAACCCCGCCTATGAATATATTCTTAATATCTGGGAGAGTATACGCTGGCGGAGCACCAGTGAAGGGTGATAGATGAAAATGAAAACAATTTAATATTGCAATTAGTATTAAAACTTTTAGATAGAGAGAAATTAACACATTTTGTTTTTTTAGCGTATCAGTGTACCCATCATGATGAATTCATCAGGAATTCACCATGATAGTTTCCAGGGGGAACCGCGAGGAGGTCGACCTGGTTGGGTATATTGCTAGCAATAGGATTCTCAGTCTCCATTACTAACAATTCACTTTTCCCCCAATTTAGTCCGTGTTAGATGGAAGATATTCGTGGTACACCGTCGAATGTAAAGGTGCCTCATTCGCAACCTCATAATGTTATGATACGTATTTATAACAATACCATGCACATAATGTACTTACATAAAATATCTGTAACTGAACTTACGGTCCAAGAACATTAATTAAATAAGAAAAACCTCTTATATAATTAAATAAATTATAAATTAAATCTTTTTGTATTACTGTGGCACACGCATGAAGAAAAAAAAATGTTACAAATTTTATATATTCTGATTTTGTTTTTGTTTATTTTTTTTTTTTTATTTTTGTACATGTATCTTTTTTTTTATCTTTTTTCACATTGCATTTGTGTCTTTTGCTGTTTGTGTGCTGTAAGTGATGCAAATAAATTATTTATGTATCTATCTATCTTATATAATTAAATAATTACATTTCATTATTTAATGATTAAATAATACGAAAGTAACTTACAATAATTTATTAATACCTACTCATATTTGAATAAATGAATGAAAGAGAAAACCATATTACTATCCCAAATAATAATTGGGATAAGGGTAGGAAGATGACGATGATGATTCGCTTAAATGAGACTATTGAATGGTGGGATATGTTCTTATCAGGCAAAACTAAACCACAGATAATATAATGCTTCGTTTATTTGGGCAGCTCTGTCTCATTCGTGTTTCAACCGTGAAGCAGTTGTGTTTGCATGGCTGTGTTTCTGTTTATAGGGTGGGATATGGCAGTGAATTTACAGGGTACAGAGGAATAACACCTGAGTCCTCAGGAATGGCAACACATGGGGGATATCATGGGCGAAACACTATACTCTGTTATGTCCATGGTACTGCTCGTGTCTATAGACGACAGTTACCACTTTCCATCAGGTGGGCCGTCAGCTTGTTTGCCATTCTATGTTGTATAAAAAAAAGTGACCAACTTTATATTTTTTTAATGAGACTTTCAACCTCGTATTAATAAATTCTTATTCTTTGCGTCTATTTGCTTCGGATTTCTCGTGTGTAGTTCAAACGCCGGTTTTATATCCAATTTAACAACGAGTTGGTTTGTTTATTTATATGAAACGGATGCAGTAGCATCTGTACTGTCGTCACTACACAGCACACATTCACAAACATACATCGATCTATCTGTCTATTCATTATTATTTGCTAATTATTTAAACAATGCATTATTTTTATACCACTGAGGTGGCAAACAAGCATACAGTCCACCTGATAATAAGCAGTTACCAGTAGCCTATGAACGCTTGCAAAACCAGTGGCATTACGCGAGCGTTGCCGACCCTTAAGAAACCTCTTTACCCCTCTTTTGAAGAAACCCCATGCTGTAGTCTCTTGGAAAAATGTCGGCAAGGAGCTCATTCATTCCTCAAATATGTCATATGGTATGAAACACCATCATTTCTTCCATCAGTTGGACCATTTTCTTCTCCATTCTCAGTAACAAATATAAAAAAAAAAATATTTGTTTATAAAATACTGCCAATTTTCCCATTCTTAATGGAATGGAAAATAGTTTTTGGTACAATGACTGAGATATGCATATAGATGTAAAAAGTACAGTGGTATTTTTAAATATGTAAACAATAACATCCAAGTTAACATTTAGACGCAAGGAGAGAAAGTGTTAGAGATGAGGATCTAACGGCCCATTGCTAGCAATATACGCTATCAGATCGATTTCCACGCGGTTCCCTTTGGAAACCATCTTGGTTAATACTTAATGAAATTGTCTCTATGAGCCATCGCAGGCGGAGTTACCTTTCCATTATCATCTAAAAAAACATTTAGTCGCATTATACTAAGTAATAAAGAACAATATGTGCATTCCAATCAATGGAAAATAAAAACTATAATACCTCACATCAAAACCCTTAGTCAACGTAGTAAATTATCTGCGCGATGACCCCATCACGAACTTGATATTTTTCTACAAATAGGTTGTGGAATAACGCAGGATTTACACAATTGGTTGAAAACGGAACGGTGCGCAGTCCTCCCAGCAAATTATCATAATCAATTTCTAGTAAATTCGTCACGATGTACTAACTAACCTAACTTCACCTCTCCTGGGGGGAAAGGGATTGTTAGTAATGGAGTTTGACAGCCCCATTGCTAGCAATATGCCCTATTAGGTCGACCTCCACGTAGTTCCCCCTGGAAACCATCGTGAACAATTCTTGTTCAATTCGTCACGATGGACTTACTGACCTTCTTCATCCTCACCTATCATCTTTCACTGGTGCCTCGCCGGTGTATACCGATAGCGCGGGTGGGGTTACCATTCCATTATCATCCATTAAAAAAAAACTTCATCTCACCTATCAACTCTCACACGTATACCAATAGTGCAGGGGAGTTAGCATTTAATTATCATTATATAAAACAAATATCCTCATTACTAACAATAATCCGGGGGAAGGGATTGTTAGCAATGACATATAATAGTCCTATCACTAGCAATATGCTGTATCAGGTCGACCTGCACGCGGTTCCTGTAAAGCATCGTGGTTAATTCTTGTGGAAATCGGCGCTGACTGACCTGCTGTCATCCGCACCTATTGTCTCTCACTGATGCCCCACCAGCGTATACCGATGGGGCAAGCGAAGTTACCATTCTATTCTCACCCTTTAAGAAAAACAATAATAATCTACTATTACAAAGAGGAAAACTCTGTTTGTTTGTTTGGTTGTAATGAATAGGCTGCAAAAAATTCTTTCACCATAAAGCTACATTATCCACGAGTAACATAGGCTAAATTTTATTTTGGAAAAAAATAGGGTTCCGTAAACCACAGTGGTAACGTATAAATATAGCATTTTAATGGTATATTATTTATTGTTAATATTTATATATTATTATTAATTTAAAACTCTGGTTTACGATATGCAGACATAAGTCATAATGATAAAACAATTAACTGTTATTGTTTATTCAGCTTCAGTCTATATTAATATTATAAAAAAGATTTGATTGTTTTTTTTGTTTATTTGTAATAGATAAACTCAAAAACCACATAACCGAGTTTGAAAAATGCTTCCATTTAAATAAAATATACTATATATTATTTTCGAAAATTCCATCTTCCCTGCGAAGTCGGGCTGGATCACTAGTATAGTATGGTATGTATATATATATGGTATGTGTATATATATATATATATATATATATATATATATATATATATATATAGAATTCTCGTGTCACGGTGTTTGTTACCAAACTCCTCCGAACCGGCTTTACCGATTTTTACTAAATTTTGTGTGCATATCGGGAAGGTCTGAGAATCGGCCAACATCTATTTTTTAATTTTCAATGATAAGGGTGACCCACTCCTTAAAAATATTTTTTATTTTTTTGACAACGTTTTTTATTTTTATTTAAATATGATTTAGCATTGAAAAATACATA